TCTTAAATTACAACAAACGAACAACTTTATTTTTACATCCAACCACGCTAATAGCAATGCCATCCATCAGTCAAATTGTCAAAACACATCTGAGCACCGCTCTAGTCACGAGTTCACAGTAAAACCTAAACTATTAGCGATACCCCTGCAACAAAAGATCATATCATTATATGATGGCGTGGTACGGACTGGCGATCAGAACACCACACCACATGCGAATCTCAAGCAGAGCCGCGCAGCAACACGGACTCTCCGCAAAACCCCACCCGACCAAGCGAGCTAGCCACCAATGCCAGACTGGATCCGAAGGCCCTATCTAGCCACCCGCCCGCGACAGATCCCCAAAGCAATCCGCGCCATCACCACCACCACCCCATCCCATCCTAACCAAATCTCGGCGCCAATTCAGCCCCGATCCGACCACGCCCCCGCCGCCACAGAGCCCGCGCCCCGTCGGGATCGCGCGGAACGAGCACGGTGGGATCTACATTGGAAGCAATGCGAGCAGAGGAGTATAGCGGAGAGGGGGGGAGGAGGGGGGGTGACGGACCTTGCGGACGTAGCCGTACTCGCTCTCCTTCTCGGAGTCCTCGAAGGTGGTGATGCGGTCGCCGAACGCCATGGCCGCCGGCGGCGAGGACGAGGGCGGCGGCGGTGGTGGTCGTCGTCGCCGACCTTCGGATCGGCGGTGGCGGTGTCGCGATCTGGTCGGGGAGGGAAGGGGAGGGAGCGATTTGGGCGGGGCGGGGGTGAGGTGGATCCTGCCTTAAATAGATGTCGTCGTGTTTTTTTTTGTTTTTCTTTTTGTTTCGGATCTGATTATATTTTGGTGCTGCTAGTAATTGGGTTCGTCTCGAGCTCTGATTGGAGGACGCCTCTTCTTTTCTGATACGGTTGCGAGCGCTGCGTCTCGTGTTGGTTTAGGACGCTGACATGTGGGCCGGTGGGTCATAGAATCTGTGGCCTTTTTTAAGTGCACAGCATTGTGGCCTTTCGAGATGTGAAAAGACATCTAAGAACATCTCCAGCAGTAACCCCTACTTTAGAGCTCCTAAAGATCAAATGGGGGCTGCCACCAATTCTTTATGACTCTAAAAATAGCATTAACTCTAGCAGTAGCCCCCTATATTTTAGCCCCTATTTCTTTTTCTCTTTTATTTTAGTATAAATTGTATGTTTGTGTCTACCTTAACACCATAATAATTTAAACATAAATAATTCTAGCGCATGAAATTCAACCATATTGAAATTTACAATTTTAAACACCATGATTCAAATTTGAATTCAAATTTTTTAACATGAGAATGACATGTCCTACAAGAAAATATTGAACACGACCCATAGTTGACAAAAAATGCAACGAAACAAACTATCGAGCACCATGAAGCGCCCACAAATGTTCCATAAGAAAATTTAATTTCCACTATCTCAAATAACAAACTAGACAATTATATTCATAATAATCAAAGCCTATAAAAAGAAGTGCTACATACTAACCGATAACTCTACTGATCCATAGCAACGACAGTTCAGTGCAGTGCTACTAGTACAAGCACAGTGTTTGAGATTCTTCTCTACCACCGAAGAAGTCTACTACTCCTACAGTTCTAAAAAATATATAAAACAAATCAATATCCAGCACAAAAAGTGGTCAAGTATAATACTACTACTTCTCTGCTAGTAGTACTCCTACCACACAGATTAGATCAATCCAGAAAACTCTAGGGGGCAAAGGGCGGCGAGCAGAGGGCGGCGTGTGGGCTGGCTTGGAGTAGTGGCCCTCCGGCAGTGCGCAGGCGGCGGCCCTCCATCCGGTGGGCCAATGGGGCAGCGTGGGGGCGGGCAGCCGTTGGCTCTCCTGCCGGCGAGCGGATAGCGGCATACGGGTGGACAGCGGTAGGGACGATGGCTCTGCAGCGGGAGGACCATGGCTGTGCGGGGTGGTGTGTGGATAGCAACGTGCAGACCGACGGCGGGAGGTCGTGCGACACCATGTGGACGGCGGACTCGTGAGGGCGGCGGCCGGAGACCCTTGCGGATGATGGGCGACAGAGGTAGGGGAAATTCTCACCTTTTTGTGCCAATCTTGCCGGAGGTGCAGGGGAATCGATGGCCGCCGGCGCTGGAGCCCAGATGAGATCCAGCGTCGCGGTGCCGCGCAGGAATGTGATGAGAGCACGAAAGTGAATTGTCGTTTGGGACCAGAAAAATGTCAATGGGGGCTGTGCTCGGAGCCCCAGGACTAGGGGCTTGGGGGTGGATCTGAGGGCCTCCTCATTTTGGGGGCTGGGTTTAGGGTCTCTGCTGGATCTAGTTTTTTTATGTTAACCCTCAAAATTTGTTTAGGGACTGGGTTTAAGGTCCCTGCTGGAGATGCTCATAAGAGCTTGTAATCTTGATTTACAATAACAGTGATACTATTAGATGAGTTTTTACATGTCAGGTTAGTAAGTAGTAGCGGTTTTTTCCTGTATAATATTGTGTGAAGCAATTTTTTAAAATAAATTGAATTGAATTTGATATACAACTCTGAAGTTGTCATAGACACATAGTTGTAAGTATTCAGAATATAATCTGTTGTGATGTCCAAATGTTAGTTTCTGTTCCGTAAATACATTTGTAATTAGCATACAATATGTTCATTAAAAGTATTGCTAAATATGATATATATAAATCTTATAGTTTATATTTCCATAAATATAAAACATGTTAGGGTCAAATACTAAAATGTCTGAAGAAACCTGAAGCGAATCTGGTTAAAGGCAAACATGTGGTTTGTGCGAAGGTGAAGAAAGTGCATAGGACAGTCAATCCCCAAGATGATGTTCTGCACGGATGGAAGCCGCCAGATCAGGGACTGATGAAGTTGAACATTGATGGTTCTTTTCAACCTGATACAGGGAAAGGCGGCCTGGGTGTGGTGCTCCGAAATAGACTAGGAGAAGTCATCTTTGCAGCTTGTGGTTACATCCAACGGTGCACAGGTGCTCTAGAAGCGGAACTGATGGCGTGTCGGGAGGGATTACTTATGGCTCTCCAATGGACACTGCTACCGATCATCATAGAAACTGATTGCCAGGAGATGCTGAATTTGCTCCAGTCCAAGGAGTTGGTCCGATCGGAGTTGATGTTTTTAGTCAAGGAGGTGCACGACCTCATGATGGGAAACAGGGTTGTTAGTCTTGCTAAGGTGCATAGGAATCAAAACCGTATTAGTCATGTTTTAGCTAATAAAGGCCGAGTGGAGGAACTTACTCACTTCTGGCCAGACAATAGCTGTAATGCTATCGCACAACTAGTTTGTGTCGATGCTTTGATTGAATAAAGTGATCCCTGTTTCCTCGCAAAAAAAAAACTAAAATGTCAAATTTTACCAATCAATATACGTTCTAATTACAATTGATGAAAAAATATTCATGCCTTCCCCTATATAGTATTTAGGGAGTGTCTAGATTTATTAACCGCCCGGAATTTAAAATTTTCCGTTTGCTTTTCATAGGTATCACATCTCTCCGCTGTTACCTAACCCCTTGAACAAAGCCCATTCTTTCAAAGATAAATGGTTGAACAATGAATTGTTCTAACCTAAACAGGACAAACTCACAATTCATGCAAAATTAGAAAATCCATGTAAAACTATTCAAATTTGTACAAAAAAATAAAACCATATATGACAACAAAAATGCAGTTAAATCCACTTTTCTCCTTTAGAGGGGATTGAATTTCAGGTGGAGATATAAGTTTCGGCAGCTAACGTGGATTTGGTATTTCAGATTTGGCATTAGGTGCATTATATTCCACCATGCATCTTTTGTACACACAACTTTTTTTATTCAAACTGATGCTTTAAATTCAGATAACTTGTTGTTTGTTAGTCAATATGCTACCGGCCCGTTTGATTTAGATTATTTATACGGATTATCTATTTGATTATAGGGATAAATTAATTTTTTTAAAAAAATGTTAATATTTTTAAAAAGAAGTTATGTAAATAATAAAGAAGAAAAGAATTTTGAGCAACCATATTTTTAAAGTGTGGAGCAAATAATCTATTTCAATAATCCGATGAATAAATTAAGAAGGGCAGCATAAACTATCAAGTTTATTCAGTCGTCGCAAATTACCTTGTTCAAACGAACATTTAAACTCAACCTTTTAGCAGCGTCGGAGCTAGCTCCCGAGCTGGTCGGGTAGTCGTCCGAGCTCCGCGGTTGGCATTTTCGTTATATTCTAACATTAATACCACACATAAAATATTATTGATTGCTAGCTACTCCATCTATTTCAGGTTATAAGTCATTTTAACTCTGATTAAAGTCAAACTAATTTAAGTTTGACAAAATTTATAGACTAATATAGTAATATTTACAATACTAAATTAGTTTTATCAAATCAGTTATCGAATATATTTTCATATAAATTTGTCTTAGGTTAAAAATGTTACTATTTTTTTCTACAAACTTAACCAAACTTAAAGCAGACTTATAACCTAAAACGGAACGGCGGAACGAGTAATACTCTTCGTAGTTCAGGCATCAGAGTAAATACTTGCAAGTTCGATTACCTGCACAAACATTCAGCCTAAATGGTAAATGCCTCAGTATGAATTGTTTTTTATTTTTAATTGAGTTAAAGTGGGTCAATGGTAGACTCTCCTCCATGCATCGAGACCTTTTTACCTGTCTCGGTCGTATCCATTTCTTCCTTGTGCAAGATCCTTTGCGAACTTCAATTTCATTAGTTTTTCCCTAACTTACAACAGAAGTTCAGAATAATATGAATCACCACTGCCTTTGTTCATCTTGCAAAGCCACAAAAGGATCCCTTGGTATAAGCAAGCACCTTCAGTTACCTCATCCAAGAAATTAAATGTTCTTTCCTTGCAGAGACCACACACACACACACACACACACAGATATATATATATATATATATATATATATATATATATATATATCCCCTATCTGATTCGTGTTCATCACACATATGGATAAAAAGCACCCCGGTTCATCTGAATTTCGAAGATCAAATTAAAAATGGGGTGCTCGTCGTCGAAGAAGGTGGAGGAGGAGGCGGCCGTGAAGACGTGCCATGACCGGAGGAGCTTCGTGAAGAAGGCGATCGCGCAGAGGAACCTGCTCGCCTCCTCCCATGTCGCCTACGCCCACTCCCTCCGCCGCGTCTCGCTCGCCCTCTTCTACTGCCTCGCCGAGGACGAGCACCTCTACTTCCTCCAGGACACGGCGGCGTCGTCGGCGGCGCCGTGCCGGCACCGGCCGTGCTCGCCGGAGAGGAAGGTTCTTGTCATGAACTGGCTGAGACCAGACGCCGGCGGCGTCGGCGGCGGCGCGCCGGTGCACCCGGTGGTGGAGGTGGAGCAGCGGTGGGAGGAGAATGATGTTGCCGCCGAGACCGTCACGGTGGACGGGTTCTTCGGCGCGGATCCCGGCCAGCTCTTCCACCCTTCGTCGTACGCTCCGGTGAATGCCATGCCGGCCTCGCCGCCGCCGCCGCAGCCGACAACGACATGGGACTTCGTCTCTTGGGACCCTTTCTCCTCGCTCCATCACGATCACCAACAATACGTGAGCTATGGCGTTGAAGATGACGAAGAGAGGAGGAGGAGAAGCGATGACGAAGATGACGAGCAGATGCCGGAGCTGGAAGAAGAAAGCGACGACGCCGCCGACGACGACGACGGCGACGGCGATGTCAAGCTGCAGGCGGAAGCTTCGCCGGCGGCTGTGGAGCGGCCGATGGCGGAGGAGGAGGAGGAAGAGAAGACGGTGGATCGCGTGAAGAACGAACTGAGGGTTGTGGCGAGCGAGGAGATCGAGCAGCAGAGCACGCCGGGGTTCACCGTGTACGTGGACCGGCCACCGGCGAGCATGGCGGAGGCCATGAGGGACATCCAGGGCCACTTCGTGAAGATCGTCGACACCGCCAACCACGTCTCCGTCCTCCTCGAGGTCGTCCCCTACCAGAGGAAAGGTACACGCACGCCATTACAGCCTCTTGTAGTTAATCTCTCGCAAACAATGTCTTCCTCTTCAGGAAGGTTTTTAAGTACTCGATGAACAATGTCTCGCATCTAAACTAAATAGTTATAGAATAATTCTAAAAATTTTAACAAAATAGATTGATGTATTACACTTTACAAATATACAAGTTAAAATTCAACTTTTACGAGTTATAACAAAAATAACAAATTAAACTGCAAATATAGTTATATATAAATAGAGAAATATCAAGTGAAAACCATCAAATAAATGAAAACCTGTGAAAACCATATCTAAATTTTTGTAAATTCATGAAAAAATTACTAGAGATAGGGACATGCATGAATTACATTCATACCAAATATCACAAATTTCGGGTGAATACTGTTATGTTACTATTCACACGAAATTTGTCTTTTTTTTCTCTCAAATGAAGTTGAGTTTGGACTTGAGATTTGGTATGAATGTATTTCATTCCTGTACCAATCTCTAGTAATTTTTTCATGAATTTATAAAACTTTTAAATATGGTTTCCACGGGTTTTACTTATTTGATAGTTTTGACCGAATATGTCCCCTATATAAATATAGGTATACTCAATTTGTTATTTTTTTATAACTTGTAAAAGTTAAATTTAAGCTTATATAAGTGATATATTACATATAAATATATTTTGTTATTTTTTTAAAAAATAACCATTTAATTAACAGAGAAGAAATATTAGAATCCATTCCTTCCTCTTCTTCTTCTCCATCATTGATCATTGATGTCTTGTAGACAGTCCGACCAGCTGCTCCGAGCGACGGTGATGACGAGGAAGGCGGCGGCGAGGTCTCGCCGGAGCCATTCGAGCTCTTCAAGAGCCACAAGGAGAGCCTCGATAGGCTCTACGAGTGGGAGAAGAGGCTCTACGAGGAAGTCAAGGTAGAGACCCCGATATCTTCCAAACTCTGACGTCATCGTCTTCGTGTAGCTCCGAGCTTTTCATTTCGTTTTCCATGGCGGTGGTGGTGAAGGCAGGGGAGCGGGTGAGGCTGTCGTACGAGAGGAAGTGCGCGCTGCTGCGGAGCCAGGACGCCAATGGCGCCGAGCCGTCCGCCATCGAGAGGACCAGGGCCGCCATGAGAGACCTCCGCACCAAGCTCGACATCTCCATCACCTCCGTCGACGCCGTCTCCAAGCGGATCGCCGCCGTCCGCGACGACGAGCTCCTCCCCCAGCTCGCCCAGCTCATCCGAGGGCAAGAACAATGCCAATCCATCCATCGATCTGATCTTCTGAGATGTTTTTTCCTCTTTTTTTTGTTAATTTGTTTGAGATGTTTTAGGTTGGCGAGGATGTGGATGGTGATCGCCGATGCGCACCGGGTGATGAAGCGCACGGCGGACGAGGCGTGCGCGCTCCTCTCGTCGTCGTCGGCGGCGGCGGCGCGCGCGGCTGCGGGCGGCGAGGGAGGCGTCAGGGGCCCGCCGCCGCCGCCGGGGCAGGCGCGGGCGGCCACGGCGGCGGGCGCGCTCGGGGCGGAGCTCCGCGGGTGGGGCGCGGCGATGGAGGCGTGGGCGGAGTCGCAGCGCGGCTACGCGGCGGCGCTCTGGGGGTGGGCCCGGAGCTGCGTCGCGGACGGCGAGCACATGCCGCGCCTCCTCGCCGCGTGGGCCGCCGCGGTCGAGGCCGTCGACGTCGAGGCGGCCACCAGGGCCGTGGATGCCCTCGCCGCCGAGGCGGCCGCCGTCGCCACGGCCGCGCGGCGGCGCGGCGGCGAGGAGGAGTGGAACGAGGAGGAGGGGAAGAAGAGGATCTGCGTCGGCCTCGCGGCGGCGCTGGCGGCCACGGCGGAGGCCGGCGGCTTGGCCTCCGCCGCGTACGGCGAGCTGGTGGTGGAGATGGAAGAGAGGGAGCGCGCGAGGGAGATGGCGGGAAGGGACGAAGAGCAAAATCAAAACTGAACCAAACCATTGTAATTGTAAATTAAATCGTCCTTAACCATTCACAGATCATTATTAGAGTCCTTTGAAGCATAGAAATCGCACTCAATTATTTATCACCATGAATTGTTCAGAAACGAAGCATTCACTTTCAGAGTAAATCTGATTTACCATATCCCTACCAGATGAAATTTTTTCGACCATTTGGTCACTTACCTGAATTCTCCAGGCTCTCACCAATGATGGATCATGAATTCAGAAGGCAAGCTCAACCAGATCAGAAAAAAATAGTTCCAAATTCCACCACATTTATACTTCGTAGTTTCAGACTTTCAGTCTCTTAGCTAGTCAGTTCTATTACAGGAATAGGGAAGAGTGCATGACACTTCGACACGAGGACTCTGAAAAACTCAAGTCCGTTCACTTGGACACATCACGTTTCAAACGTAGCTGAGCTGACATAGAAGTAGGACCAGTAGTTTCACTTGGACATGCCGCCGTTGGGGTGGTTGTCCCAGCCCCAGGCGTCAACCACCTCGCCGCCGGGCATCTGCAACTGCTCCGGCTGGGACAGCCCGGCCGTGAAGGGGTCGTCGCCGGCGTAGTCCAGGCCGGCGAGCACGTCGGGGACGCGGCACGCCTGCCGGGGGTTCAGCGCCGGCGACAGCCCGCCCAGGTGGCCGAGCCCGCACGACAGCGCCCCCCGCGCCACCATGTCCTCCGCCATCTTCACCTGCACTTACAAACGGGGACGAATTCAGAGCTCAGAAACCGGCCGAAAATGCAGGACGGATTTGACGATGGCTACAGTGATGAGCAATGCAATGTGCAGATGAAGATGGAGATGAATGATCACCTTGACCCGGAGGGCCTCAACGTCTGATTTGAGGATTCTGTTGTCCGTGACAGAAGTTGTGAATTGCTGGTTGGCATCCGTCAACTGCTTGAAAAGCGATGCGTTTTCGCCCCGGAGCTGGTCAACCTGACAAACAAGAGCATGATTTGAGCTATGGAAATCTGAAAGAACCGGCACTAGCATTTCGCATTTTGACTCAGAATTACAGCTACCAATTGGCACATGATTTGTTAGTCGAATCAATCTGTTACTGTTTGAATTGAACAATGGCAAATGTTCGGCAGGTACAAAACTTCAGATCATATCAGTTTACCTGTGACTCGAGATCAGCTAAGTGAGCTTGCTTTCTCTTCCTCGATCGCCGAGCAGACTCCCGATTGGACACCATCCTGTAATTTGAAGCCCCCAACCGTTTCATGCAAGTTCTTTGTCAAACATTCCTTCTGAAAAGCAATGTTCAACTTCTACTACTAGCGAATATGCCCATAATTTTTCACGCAGTGACAGACAAAATGCTTGACATAGTCGCTTATGTTCTTGGAATACCTTCTCACTCTCTTCACGTCCAACGGGTTCGTGCTTTGTTCGCATGGACCACCCTCTATATCCAACAGCGATTCACTTTCAGAATCCGAACCACTTGTGCCTCCCAGAGTTTGGCTCTCCTTCATGTTCAGATTGGTAGCTGATGTGGGACTTGCTGCTGCTGATTACAGAAAATTGAACAGAGAGTGAGCAAGAACAATTAAATAAACTGAACATTGTTTGTGCCTCATCAATAAACACAATTTTGATGCAGTACATGACACAGTAACAGCACTGGTACTGTCCATGGATGTCCATCGCTGAAATCTCCATGAGTTGAAAAATCCAAGTTGCATGTGCTTTTCAGTGTGCAATACAGTAGCAAATCATTGAGTACATCGAACAACAAGTATTTTTGTGTGCAAATTGTTGCAGTCTTATGAATAATTGATGAAAATCGTGGAAGATGACGAGTGTGAGGCCGTACCACAGATTGATGACTGCGACTCAATTGTCGTGGAGACCGCAGGATGCCGTGCGTTCAGGTTCTGGGACTGGGGCCATATGTGATTGGGAATGCCCCCTGTGATGGTGCTCTGCTTGGACAAAAATATAAGTAAAATTAATCGAGTGATCAATCATGCAAATCAAGAATCAAGTACGATTTAAGATAAGCAACCAGGGCTTGTAATCATCTTCCTTATATGAAAAGAATTACTTATCACCAGTCCTTAATACCAACTTAATCAAACCCTGTCATGACAACGGAAACTCTCATGTTATGCTGTTAACCTAAAATGGTTTCTCCTCTTCCATGCTTTAGAATTCATGATTTCCTCTTATCGGGCTATTCAAATAAATTCTTTTAAAACACAAGACATCATTCGTTCGCGAACTAAAATTGTGCAAGTTTGGTGTGCTTGTGTTGTGATGTGTGTCTTCCATATAATCGGGGAAAAAAAACTCCTAGTAAGAGTAAATTTATTACTGTCTATCCATATTCATAGTATTAGGATATGTCGCATTAAGTTGCACGTAAGTATATGAGTATATTGGATTGGAGGTCGGAGGGAGTACTTGCGTACCAACTATGAAAAATTACTGTACAAGTAAAAAAATGGTAGAGGATGAACCAACAGTCTTCTACTTGAGAAAGGTAGTAGGAGTCAGCTGATCAGCAGCAATTAACGAAAATTTCGCAGACATGAAACTCTAGTCAAGCATATACAAGCACGTTTCTAAAAAAACGCATATACAAGCACCGTACGTGCTACTGCAAGCTATCCAATACAGCAAGTGTTCAACTTAATTTTAGCACACGAATTTAATACTACGGCCCAGTTTAGATCCAAATTTTATCTTCAAACTTTCAACTTTTCCATCGTATCAAAACTTTCCTACACACACAAACTTCTAATTTTTCCGTCACATCGTTTTAATTTCAACCAAACTTTCAATTTTGGCGTGAAAACACACCCTACTACTACTACTATACTACGTAGTCGCAGCAGGCAGCATAATAATCAGTAATCAATCACTCACCGAGTCCGCGAAGCCGAAGCCGGAGAGGTCGGCGGCGGAGAAGATGCCGAGCGGGTGGTCGGCGTCGGCGTCGCCGCCCCCGCTTCCGCCGTGGATGAACGCCTCGATGTCCATCTCCGATTCTCCGTCGTCCCTGCTGCTTCCAGCGGCTGCGGCGTCGGCGATCGGCCGGGTGGTGGCGCGCGGCGGCGTCGGAGTCGGATGCTTTTCGAGATGCCCCGGCGAGACAGATCACCGAGGAGGAGAAGGGAAAGAGAAGCTTTTTGTGTTGATCGCTGCGAGGAAGGAAAGCAGCTCCCTTTTGCCCCTCATTCCCCTACGTATTTACGATACTGCTTTGGAAGCCGCCGCGAAATGCGTTGCGGCGTCGGGGGTAGTTTGGGAAAATGGCGGCGCCGGCCCAGTGATGGGAGCCGACTCGGATCCGCACCACCGACCACCGGCGGCAACGTGACGGCGCACCACGTCAGCTGCCCGTGATCTTCTGTGGCCACACGTTTTTGCACCTCACATGTGATATGTCCTCAGTCACACAGCACTCGGGTGCAAATTTTTGGTCACTTTTAACCCCGAACTATTGTTTTCTTTCGCGTTTTAGGGTTTGCATTTTGTCCTTGTTTTTTTTGAAAAATGAATTAGGCCCTGTTTAGATCACTCAAATTTTTTTATCATGTGACATCGAATGTTTAACACACGCATAAAGTATTAAATATATGCTTAAAAAATAACTAATTGTATAGATTGCGACTAATTCGCGAAACAAATTTTTTAAGTCTAATTGCTCCATGATTTGACAATATGGTGCTATAGTAAATATTTGCTAATGACGGATTAATTATACTTAATAAATTCGTCTTGTGGTTTACTGATTAATTTTGTAATTAGTTTTTTTATTAGTGTCCGAACACCCTATGCGAGACTCTATATAATACTCGATGTGACACGCCAAAACTTTATACCCCGGTATCTAAATACCCCTTAGTTGTTTGCCCTCACGGGTGACGGTAGGTTTGACGGTGTTAACTCTAGCGCGAAAGAACATTTATATTCTCGATTGTTGTTGTATTTTGACCCTATATTTTTCAACCCGTGCAACTTTGCCCTTTCCCTAGATCGCATAGAAGCAATCCCATGACCCTTTCACCCGCCGCTCACCGCAACAAGCCCCACAGTCACCACCTACCATGGCGTGCCTTACCGCCGCTCACCGCACTAGGCGTAGGAAGCCTCACGATTGTCGCAGGCCTCCACGCGCCTGGCCGCTGCCTCCTCTAAGGTTTTTGGGTGGTGACGGACTACAAGTACGAGATTCGATGGTGCTTGGAACTCTATCCATTTACTCAGGGATAACAATGAATCAATATTTCATAAATCATTTTCTCATACTCCCTCCGTTTCAAAATGTTTGACACCGTTAACTTTTTAGCACATGTTTGACCATTCGTGTACATGAAAGTATATTTAACAATAAATCAAATGATATGAAAAGGATAAATAATTACTTAAATTTTTTGAATAAGACGAATGGTCAAACACGTACTAAAAAGTCAACGGTGTCAAACATTTTAAAATGGAGGGAGTATTTTAAAAATGCCCGAGCGTTGCAACGGGTGAAGGATATTTTAATCATGTTACTGTTATGCTAGAAAAATACACATGCTTTGTTACGGGCAAAGGAACAGTTAGATGCTATAAAGTCTAGAGTTAACATGTATATAGTAATGTTTCATGATAGATAAATTATTTATTAGGCTAATGATAATCAGGATGGATAAAAAAACACACACTCTCTCTCAACCCTTGTGTGACAAACTGTGATATCATTGCACTGGGTAATGGTTAGGTGAATGAAATTTAACCTCAATGATTTATCGAAGCACCTTCATAGTTATCACAAATGCATATTTGTGCTTGGACAATTAATCCGCTCTACGCGTGTAGGATGTGAATGATGTCCCTAACACATGGTCCCGATGATTGTAGCATTGGAGAAATGGACGTCTGAGCAACGCACCTTTACGTATAAGTACAAAATGAATTTTTTGGGAGTTCATTAATTATTTTAAACTACATTTTTTATGACACTTTTATATTCTTTTTTCATAATTGATAATTGCTATAACATTGCATTGATTTATAATCACAATGCAACAGTACACTGCTATGCTCTAACCGGCAAAACCTGAACAGCGCCAGCCGTACCATGCCGTTCCTTTTTCTTTTGTAGAAAACCTCTTAGTGCATGATTAATTGAGTTTTATTATTACAAAAATTAAGAAAAAATATCTAGTATTTTATATCAATTGTATATAGAAAGTTTTAAAAACGCGCTAACAAAAACCGAGATAGAAGGAACGGAGCCATGGTGTGAAGTTTCACACCATGCACATATTCAATTTTCATGTTTTTAAAAAATATCGGTTGGTTCACGTGTTTATACTGATTTTTTTTATATAATATAATTATAAGATTTCAGAATCACTAAAAGTCTGTTGAAGAAAGAGGTGCAGAACTTTTGATTTTTTATTCATCGGATGTGCATGGTCCGTGCTATTGGTTGAGAGAAAAAAAATTACGCGCAAATATGATTTGACAGAGGGAGGGAAAGTAGACTTATTCTAGGGCCTAGGTAAACGTATATTTATATTGATTTTTGTGTACATAATTTAATTATTTTTAATTTTCGAATTAAAAACTGATTCATTATAAGATAAGATTTCATAATAAATTAAAATCTGTTGGAAAAAGAGAAAAAAAATCGAAGTCAAATATAATTTGACATGAGGGAGGCAAAGTAGACTTATTTTAAAGGGATAATAGGTGTAAAAATGAGAGGAAAGTGGAGTCGAACCAGGGTGGCCGAAATGAAAACTTTCATCCCTCACCAAGTGGGCAGACTACTACATGTGAGAAGTGAATACATGGAAAATATATATACCGTATCAAACGTGGTTGTGGAGTAGATAAAAAAAGCCCGATCGGGCTGTTAACCGGATTAAATCCGGATTTAGCGTAGCGCGTGGTAATGACGTACGAAAAAAAACACCCGGAAACCTTACGTATTTTTTAATTAGCTATATATATATATATATATATATAGATTTAACTAAAATCCATGGGGCCCATATAACCAGACATCAAAGGTGGAGGCAAACGACTGATTCCTTTTAAAAAATAAAGGCAAAAATACAAACCCTAATAAGAGAGAGCAAAACAACAGTTTATGTTAAAAATAAAGGACAAATTTCCCCATCATCCTCCCCATGCGGGTACGGGAAGCGGGGGCACCCGTCAAGTTCCCCACTGCCCGTATGGCATCTACAAAGATAGAACCTCCATCAACGAGTGGAAAACTACAGTATTGCAATCAAATAAGGTGGTGGGCGATGGCACATGTTTTTAAACGGCTAAACAATGTGTTTTCTAGAAAGTTTATATTAAAAATACTATATTTTAAAAATTATATTAATTTATTTTTAAGTTTTTTAACTCATACTCTATCCGTAAAAAAAAGCAACCTAAATGAGGGTTTAACATTACCTAGGACTACGAACTTGGACAACCATATGTCCATGTCCAGATTCATTGTTTTAGGTGGTGTCAAATCACCAATTAGGTTAGTTTTTTTTACGGAGGAAGTACTTAATTAATCACACATTAATCCATGTCTCGTTTTACGTGTAGGAAGGATTAATTCCAAAACCCACAGTAAAAGACTCACTATCCTAATGAGGGCTAAAGTAAACCGGGCCAATTGGGCCCTATTGATTGGGCCGTGCCCAACCGTAGCACTAGCAGTAGGCTGCCTGAACCATCATCGCCGTCGTCGGCGACCGCCCGCTCGCTATCGAGGTCGCCGGCTCGCGCCGCCGCCGCCATGCGAGAGCTTCCCTTCGCCGCCCGACGAGATGTATGTACGCTCCGTGAACCCATCCTCCTTCACTAATGCATTCCCCTACTCGATTGCTCTGCTGCATCCTTAGCCGTTGCTTCAGATCTGAAAAGCTAGGTCCATGTGCATTTGGCGTTCGATTCGTTGCATCCAGTCATGTTGGGGATTTGTGCGAGTCGTTTCGAATTCTCTCCTCTTCTCTGAATGCGTGAAGCTGTTGTTCGAAAAAAAAAACCCCCAATATTTTGCTGGATGAATTGGAAGTTGGAATTGGTGTAGAGAACTATGGAGGCTATCACAAAAAGAAACTGGAATACAATTTTTTTTTTGTAGTTCATTTTAGCACAGGTGGAAGATGCATGGCTTCTTGGTGAATGAAAGGCCACATAATGCTGACGAGCATCTTTCACCTAATCACCCTTGTTATTCTAAGCTAAGCTCGAATCTGTCGCTAGCACATTGTTGTGTACACCTGAAGCTGTTCAGCATTATTTAGCTACTTTTATTCTGAAATTGGTTAGATGTTATCTAAGCTTCCAGGCTCTTCCACCCTTCATGTTAAACGTTTTAAGCCTCCCGAAAAGCATGACGATGATCAGGATCGCTTTCCCATTGTCGCTCCATTTCCCCGCAAACCCGTACGAGGCATCCTTGCAGCGTGCATCATGGTTCAGTAGCCTCTTGCAGCTGTAGCCAACCGAGAACCCCACATTTCCATATGCACTGCAACAATCAGAGCCAGATGTTCAGTGATGATACTCATGTTAAAAAATAATCATGAGCTTTCTGCAGAATGCAGTGAATTTCAGTGGCTTGCCTGACGACTTCAAACAATATGCTGAAAACATTGAAATTAAGTGGATCTGTAGCCATCGAGTCCCGTTCTGTGATGCAAATTAGCATTACAAAGATAGCCAAATAAGACATATGTGAGAAGATCCAGTTCTCCAATAGCCCTTTTCTTTTGTTTATCTTCTCGGTCTTAGAATCCTCACCATCATGTCTGGGTAAAAACGAAGTGTAACCAGGGAGATACCTACATAAAAATTAGTCAAAGTATGTGTTAAGATTACATATTAAGAACAATTCCTCTCAATGATAACATATACTGGACTAACTGCTTTGTATGTAATATACTGTTGAGCCTGTAAGTGGTTCTTGAACTACTATAGTCCTCAACCAAATCTAGCACTGAGTCTGGCTTGTGGGATTGTGTGATTAAAAAATTCCTTTCTTAATAGGTAGGAGTACTATGGTAGGAAGCTTTCCTGTGTATTCTTAAAGATTATCTGATGTCCTTATGTTCCATTCTACTATATGCAACCTACCTATTAGTGAAGTACAATATATTTGAACGTTGCTGCACATATTCGAGAGAACCACTATAGGGCTATTATAAGTGAAGGAAGGCAAATGTGATGTCCATGATAAGGTAGTTAAATTATATAGTTTACTGACTAGAGCAATAAATACAGGAAGTTTTCTTACTTATGATCATTCTTATTTTGGGGAGAAGGTTTGAGAAGGGACTTACATCATGATGGTGTATAGGACTAGGATTGCTGAAGAGAGGTTTGACAGATCTGTAACAGATTCACCTGCATGCCTAGCATTGACCGACTGAAATAGAGCGGATACTATCTTTTGATAGTTGCTCATTCCATCCAAAGCTACCGAGCTCCACTCCAAAGAGAGGAACAATACGGTTTGCAGAATGATCAAGCTCACAACTGTTAAAGTCAAATAAACACTTTCCCTGGTACTCATAAGATGTTTATATCCAATGGCCTTTGGATATTCAAGAATGTAACGACAATCCTTTTTTCCGGTAATCTTCTCAAGTGACCACACCATTAATCTCAAGCATGGTGCAAATAATGTATTTCCTGCTAGTATCTGAGGAAGAATTAGCAATAGAAGAATGGAGTTCTTCTGAAAGATAATCATATTCTCATTTACTGGAGTGAAGCCACAATTTCCAACTGAGGAGATGGCTGTAAATACTGAGAATACGATGATCCCAATGCCTTTTCTCTTTAGAATTTTATGTGCACTTGGTACCAGGTTAAGGTAGAGGTAAATAAGTAGGGAGCCGCCTAAGTTTGTTATTAGAAGATATCCCATCACTACAAAACCTAAAAATTTAATCGTCTTGGGCTCTACATGTCCTCCATTTTCCATGCGGAGTTCAGAAAATGAAACTGTAACTTTTGTGCCCTGGGTGCTGGGACCAAATTTTGTGGAAGTAATAGACTCAATATCAATGCAAGGTGAGTGATCCCTTGTGCTGACTGACTCTTTTGTACCAAATTCGGCTCTCATAAAGTGAATGCCAAGCATTGAAGTGAATACCTCACCACCAATCAGCATTAAAATAGTCAAAACCCAGAGTTGAGCGCTTGAGAAATCCTCCATTTCAACAGTAGCCATGCTTGAAACAGTTGATGCAGATACGGAAGTAAATAGCACGTCCAAGTCTTTCAGAGTATTTGACTTGTCTCGTGGCTTGAGGACCTTTAGAGATCCATATCCAGCAAAGGAGATCAGGGCAAAGTAAGCTACATGGACAAAGAGTGGATTGTTTTGGTAGATGAACTGGAAGGAGTATTTTATAGACTTCTGTGCAGATTTGGTAAAAGAAGAGAACTTGCTAGCTGCAAATGTGCGGAAAGTTTGGAGTTTTTTGTGGGATACTACAAGACAATGATTCATTTTCTAACTATTTGTGTGGAGCTAAACAGCATGTATTGGGTGCTTCCTTATTTGCATCAATGTACTGATGTTTGTCCATTTATATAGGGAAAAAAATATTCTCCTCTCCAACTTATACTTGTGATGTTCGTACATATAATCTCTGCTGTAGAACAAAAGCAATCAGCATCAAAGAGTTAGTGGTGAACTTACTGGACAACAATGACAGAAGAATCAAAGAGTGCTTTGGATTCCATATAGCTTATGTGAATGTAAATGAAGTGCTGAAGGATTTATTCTCTACTGCGATTGTGGCAAATAACAGTCTGTTCTGAAAAGATTATACAGGTTAGTGAAAAATGCAGAACAAAGAATTAGCACCCCGAATGCAATGATATTTCAGTATGTGCTTTTCATTAGGCTGCCTTCTGATGAAATATATGCTTTTTTTTTTGAGAATTACACAGTACAATGCTGACACTCACAACGCACGCACACTTATGCTTTCTTTGATCTGTGAGTTTCAGCATGTTGGACATGCACTGCTTTCAAGAGTTCGAATTCAGTTAGAAAGCTAATATGTTCTCAGCAACTGATCACTAGTGATGTACTTTTGCTTGACTACCCTAAAATTGTACCTTGAATATTGCACCTCATGCCATTTCAGGATGTGGGCATTATTGTTGTTAAGCCTCTACTTTAATATATTGTCTTGAATATATGGTTTCGAAGCATGAAATGAAAAGATATGAGTAAAAATTTCAATCAAACTACATTTTAAAATCTCTTTTCAAGTAAACAATTTCAGTGGTCAAAGCGGCATTTGTTGACTTTGAATTGAAAAAAATTGACTTGTTTTTGATAGGAGGGAAATAGGGGAATTCTAGAACTGAACAGTCAATACATGAAATATTTTTTGCATAAGTTTTATTGGCGTTAGATCCAATTAGAGCATTAAATTTTACAAAATTGAATCGGTGAGATGATTTGGTCATAAACTCATAATGTACTGCAAGTCTGTTTTAGAGAGATACAATGCTATATGCGAGAAGAGGTTTACCTGTTCCATTTTACTCAGAGTAATTTATTCCATCTTAATATCTGTAACTATGCATATACAGTTGCAAGCGGTTACTCTTATGAAATATGGGTTTGAAAGCCTATTTTTGCTATCCTAATTGATACTCCCTCTGTTCTTTTATGTATGACGTTGGTTAGTTCAATTTTGAAATAATCAATGTCATATATTAAAGGACGGAAGTAGTATTAGAAACTACTAGAATCACGTCTTTGGTTACTAAATAATATGCTAATATTTGTCTCCCTACAAACAGTGTTTTCTTTCCCTTTTTCTTGAAGGTAAAGTCTGACATTTTGTTCTGGAACACAAAATTAGCCCAATAAGCTTGGTGTATTGAAGAAGTTAAAGACAAGATCTACTGAACATATTTGAGCTATTCTATGATTGCTATTAATCTAGTTGGTTAGTGTTTGGCCAATGGACCATTCCAGATTAAATGCCTAATAAGACTTGTATGGTCCTTCTTATCTTATGCTGTTCTACAAGAGCGGTGCAAATACCAGTTGGCTTGCTTAAATTACTGGCTGAAGTGGTTATGGTCTAGATCTACTCTACGAGAACCTTTGAACTAGATTCTTGAGGCACCTCTTGAGAAAAGACGATGGTGTCTTTCTATTATTAGTCCAACAGAAGAATATTGAGCTTTCTGCATCCTATCTTTAAAGATTGTGAACATATGATCATTGCCATCCTTTAGACGATCATATCATCTTATTTTGTGTTTTATAAACACCATTTTTTTGGCCCTTTTAGAAGATGAAAAAGATTCAGCTGGGAATACTTGGATAGGTTCAGAGAGATGTTGTGCATGAGGGTGAGCTCTTGATCCAAAGCCCAACCCCTGGCATAAGAGGGTGAAAAAAACCCTTGTAAAACATATTGAGAAGAACTTATGTCTGTGCCAAAAGTTTTAAAAGATTGATTGAGAGTTAGGTCAGGGTTAGCTGTAGAGTTTGTGCCCACCAAATCTAATACCACTATTTTTGCTAGCACCTTTTTGCTGGAAGTAGTATTCTCAACAGCTTACCCGAGTGCATTAGAACCTTCACCACCCCTCTGTTCCCAAGTACTATTTGTTACCATTGACTGGTTAGGTTATAATGAATGAAAGCTAATGTTTATGTTTAGGATGCAACACAATTTGATAACACAACATCTTTTTGAGTATTTATAATTTTTTTTTCCAAAATACAAGTGATCAAAGTTTAAATATGAATGGTGTCCGCTGACAAGTATTTGGGAACGGAGGGAGTACTATATTTTGGGAACTCTACTAGACCTATCTATGCTAACTTAGGCTCAGCAACGTTAAGCTCAATCTTGCATGGATTTCTAGCCTAGGCTGTACCTGATTCAATAGGACACTTGGACTGCCAGATCAGACCAGAGCTGGCGACCCTTTGGGATACTTTTGGACTGGCTTTCAGACCAGAGATGCGCCCATAGACAGTGGCTGGGATGGCTGGCATGCACCTCATCAGCCCGGGGTACGAGTCTCCTCAAGCACGCTCACCATTTCACCTTGTTTGATATGCTGGTATGAAATATATTGTTGCTTCTTTCTTAAAACCATTGACACCAAGCCCTTCCTTGGTGTCCATCTTTAAGCTGGACCCAAGTCTTGATCTGATCTGGTTACAATACATTGTTAGAACTGAATCCTGGACATCATCCTGGTCTTAGACTTCAGAGCTGAAATTCTTAGGGATAAACTATTCTCAGTAGTTTTGTCCTGGTAATTTTGAATCTATTTTAGTATTATATACTACATCACATAATCTATGAAGGATTCACCTGTATGGGTTCTGCCATCACAAGTACAGTAATTGTTGAAAATTTACTCAGTATGAAACATGGCATATGTTCTTAGACACCTCATTATTTATTTTTAGTAAACCTTGTTTTTGTCCATGAATTAACATTTTTTAGGGGTTGCTTAAATATCAGAGCCTATATTTTGTCAAATATGTAATTGCTTACCGCATTTTAGAGTAAACACAATGAAATAATCTTTGGATTTTCCTATTTACCTAATTCCTTCTTATTTTCTTTTAGATGTACACGATCTTTTCAAGTACTGTACTTTATGTGGCTGATGTTATGTTTCCTTACGTGTTTTCATTTCATATGGCAATCATGTGCAGTCCACATGTTGGCACACTAGAATTTCTTTACTTTTCTTAGAACAAAGGACAAAGCATCCAATACGACCAAATCAGACCTTTTGGGGGCAAGAAGACTGATGGAATAGATTTAAGTCTTTAAGCTTCATCTGTTGAATGGATACAGAACAAATTCTTTCAAATGCTTTACACAGATGCTCTATATTGGCATATAGTCTCTATGGAGACTAGGTTAAATATGACCAGTAGATTTGCATATCATTTCGTTTTCCATTCTGTGATGAGTGGATATAACAACTTCCCGCAAAACTCTTATCTTCATTATTTGCAGGGTAGCATTTACATTTTGGATATGCACTGCTGATGGACTCATCAATCCTGATGCTACGATATTGTTGATAGGCCTGTTGTTCAAAATACAGTGAATTATTCCACAAAATATTTGTGTTGTAAATCTGTTTCTTAGCTCGACAATGAATATTTTCTGAACAAAGTTACTGTTAGGGGGATGTGCATGCAAAAAAGTAAAATATTCAAACCATCATTCTGTATCATCAAGGTTTGTTCATGGATGAGTAGCTAGAAAGACTCGGTGTATTAGTGAACTTGAATTGTTTGAATGCATTGTTCCTATTAAGAGGCTCATCTTCCTTTATTAGTGTTTTAGTTTTGTACGCCTTCAAATTTTAGACAGGTAGCTATTGCTACTGGGTGACAACTGATGTTCCTTGCAACTGAAGAACAATGGTAGACAGGAACAGGTGTAGATGTTCCTTGCTGCCCCCTTATTGTATCAGCATCACAGAAATGTGAAAGATAAAATAGCTTGTTTCCTATACTATGCCCACCTGAGAGGCGAGTTAATGCGTCCTGGTAGCTCATTTCCTTTATTTTACAGTGTGTGACTAAGAAGATTAACATATCATGTTCTCGTTTTCATGTATAGGTGGTAACCATACAAGCTGTTGTTGAAGCATTTGCTAGTCTGCCTGATAATTCTATTGCCTTCAGAATTGATGATGACCACAAGTACGTCTTTAGATAATTTCCTCTCTGATGTGAATTGTGATGCTCAAGATGCAGAGAAGGCAGATTGTGCCAGACTCTCCTCTTCGGTCCATTCCAGGCTACTGTTTGCTGCTGATCGAGTGAATCAAATGGTGCTCAACGTGGTCTTGATATGGAGTGAATGGCCATAGAATCTAATTCCACAGATGGCAAGATCACATCCAAGCTTCTCGTATTCCACCAAGAAACTATTCCTGGGAGCAAATTCTGTGCCAGGTCAGTATGAAAGCAGCCTACATTGGCACGTGCCTCCCGGACATTTTTAGTACCGCACTGTTGCTACCTTTTTGTGTACACCTGATGACTTACAACCAGGGATTAAAAACTGTTATTTCTGTCAAAAGAAGTACAAAAAATTCTACCCCTCTTCAGTTTGTATAAGCATTGGGCGTAGTTGAAAAAAGAACCCCAAAGTCTTCAAGTTTTGGCCAACAATTAGTCAAATTTTATTCCTGTTTAGTCTATAAAATTTATATTAATAAATTCGTATTTGAGAGTGTTTTTACACGATATTGGTTTTGTGGCCATTGAAAATATATTGTAAGAGAAATTAATGGTTAAAGTTTAATTTGAAGACTACACCAAATTAAAAAAAAACGTTCTATAAAATTGGACGGAGGGAGTAGCAAAATAGGGCAATACATTAGTAAGAACAACTGCAGACTTATTATCTTGTTTGTTTGATAAATGGTAAGCTTTCTTGCATGCTCATACCAATACTGCTGTGTAATGGATGGTCCCAACTCCCAAGTGATGTCACTAAGATTCAGGTTTTATGACCTGGTGTTTTCCTGATGCATCAACATCTGTGATACTGCCATAGTGTACGTGAGCAAGAATGGTCAAAGTTGCAAGTTGATCTTACCTAGGCACCTAGTACACTCTACGAGATATGAAAATAATGTGCCTGCACATGCATGGACCATATGGTCCACATAGATGCAAGAATGACAATTTTCTAGAGGCAAATTGTGGTTGGGATAGATGAGGCAATGTTTTTTTGTGACAATCTGTAACTTAGATGGATCTCATCTGCAACTCAAAATTTGCCTCTAGAAATCAGATTCTGGTGTTATTTACCAGTGCTTAATTAGAACTGGAAGTTGAAATACTGAAATTCGGTTATTCATTAGAACAAATCTGTCGTCTAGACCATAAAACTTTTACCTGAGCCAATTATGCACCTGATATGTAATACACTCTCTCTTACTGAAATTTCAGAAGAGAACATAACATCAAATTCCTTTACTAATTACTTCTGCTCGTACATAATATTGCAAGCACGAAGTTTCCAGTGTCTTGCGGTGAGCATATAATCTCAAAACTTTCTTCATCTGTTTAATCTGTTTCTTTAGTGTGAGAATCCTCTCCATTTTTTTTTATTCAAGCCACAGTTAAGAAGCATTCTAGTGATTACTCTTTATATGTTTCATCCGCTTAATTAAATGATCTCTTTGACCTCTCTCTATATATTTCTTTGCTGCTACAGAATTGAAGAGCAGCCTGACGGTGCTACATCATGCAGTCGATTATTCGATCGACTAGGCAGCTGCGACGCTGAGGGAGAAGGGCAATGGCGCAGAGTGCGGCGAGGCCGAGTAGTCGTTGGCCTTGAGGGCTTCAGATCCACAGTTGTCTGCATGGTCGTCCATTAGCATCTGGTGGCACCTGCACTCGGAGCTGCAGAAGGCTTTCTCCCCCCTACAGGTTTGAGACATGCACAATGACGTAAGTGGTTGCTCTACTTTTTCTCACTTTTGACAATTCCAATGTTTAACGAGTACTAGTAATATTGCAAAGCAATGTGTGACATCTAAAAATGTGATTGGTGAACTTGTTGTTTTAGTGATGATCCCATTCTACATTGAATATGTTTTGAATTGAGTTAAAAGGGAGAATAAAATATGATCTGTTATTTATTGAAGCAACAGGGAAAAGTCTTCACTTTCACTCTTTAGGCTAGAGATTATCATGCTAATCACAGGAAAAAGAAGAAAACATAAGCACGGTTATGATGGATCCATGTTATATAACATTGTATATTGATCTGGTGTATGTCCACTAGTTATTTCTGATTGACTAGAGACTTATATACTATATACTTTTTACATGTATTGCAGGTTAGCTGTCTTCCATAAACAAAGCAACTTCACTATAATTAAAAAGCTACAAACTACATACTCTATTAATCTTTTAGGAAGACAAAACCGTAACATCCTCTTCAACCAAAAAGCTAGAAATAAAAAAAAATACTAGGTAAAACTTAGAAGGTAAAATGTATCATGTATGATATTTGGCATTTCCAATTGCTTTCTGGAAAGATAATGAACTTCTTATAACTATTTTTGAATTTTTTTCCCACCTATACTAAGGTGCTGTGTGCTTCGCAGTTAATGGCAGGTTCACGTTACCAATAAATACAAAAATATAATTAGAATTCCAAAATGAATGTTTAAGCTCCTGAAAATTTTAAGCAATATATAGAATAGTCCATAAAGTAGACCTTGGGTGCCAATAAGTATAATATTGTCAAAACAATATAGTACTATTTTCATCAAAATTTTGATATTTTTTATGATGCATGAAATTTTATTTACCTGTACATGTAGATGTCGAGCCCATCAAGCCTCTTGTCACACAGGAAGCACCGGCTCAAGAAGTCAGCCGCCGGCGCCGGCTCCTCGTCGGCTTCCACAAGCCAGCCGCCGCCACCGTCGCCGAACCCAAAGTACACCCGCTTCCTCACGCTGCCGCTGGCGCCATCGACGCCGGCGACGTGCGTGATGACGCAAGTGTAGCTCTCAGAGAGCTCGGCCTCCTCTCTCGCGCGGCGCCGAGCCGCCGCGCCGATGGCGATCGGCTCGGCCTCGGTCGTCAGGCAGGCGTGGCTCATGGCCGCGACGATGCCAAGCCCGACGCCGGTGGCGCCGCCGTCGAAGCTGCGCCTCGGCCTCGGCTCGGGGGAGCTCACTGGCCCGAGGAAGGTGGAGAAGAGGTTGGCGAAGGACGACGATGCCGCCGTCAGCTTGGTGATGGAGCCGAGCCTCGCCGGCGGTGGTGCCTTCCGCTCGGTTGCCTGCTCAAGAAAGCTCATCGTGGAATACTAACTTTAGGTAAATTTCTTGTCCAAGTTCAGTTTTGATGAACACTAGCTAGTAATCGCTAAATTGTTCTTGTGTTCTAGAGAGAGAGAGAGGAGAGAGAGAGAGATGCTTTAGTTATGTAGTTGTTCTTCACTCTCTCATCTCTCCTCTCCCCTTTGCAATTCTTGGAGCACTTGCTTTCTCACCGATTAAAAGAACACCAATGGTGAGGTTTATGGAGAGAGAGAAGAGAGAAGAGAGAGAGAGAGAGAGGAGGGAAGGAGAAGGTGGTGGCAACATTTTAAAGGAGCAAATGGGTGAGTGGGAGCTGGGAATTTGGGTTTGTTAGGGATTAAATTATTTAGTGGTGTTGCACATGTGGGAGCTCTTTCTGTGGAGGTTTTTATTTCTTGATATTTAGTGGAGAATATTCCACAATATCGATTATTTATCTTATGAGAATCAAGGACTTGTCCTTCTTTAAGTGCATCCGAAAATTCTTAAATTTTGCATAGATTAGATATGATCGGTTGATCGTTGTCTCTTTATGAGGTAAGACCGTAAGAGTATAATCCAGCGGTCTCCACCAAAACTTTGTAATGTATAGTTTTATTTTATGATTTTTTTTAAAAAAAACTAATTTATATGATTTGTAGTAGTTGAGTGTTGGTGATCAAATGTGATTGATGTACAAGGAAGGAGTACTGTAGCTTTGTCTGTTGAGCATTTGGATGTTTGTTATGGTAGATTGTCCGTGTACACCTATATATAATAAACATACAAACTTGCTTTTCGGCAGTTTCGCTGAAATTTTGTTTTGTTGCATGTTCATGGAATTTTTAGCTCTGCTATCTTTGCTTGCTTCTCTTGGGATGATACGATGGATATTGCTCATGCATACGGTTACCTGCATAAACTTGTTTGTTTGTTATTCAGATCATCAGATGCACACACGTACACACCCTTAATTTGCGAAATTTTAAGCGATGAAGCAACAAGAAAAGAGTTAGTTTGCAACATGATTATTAAAGCCAGTTTTTCTCTTTCTATTAAAGCATTTCGTTTTTTATTTTACCTGAATATTTCTTTCTTTTGACAAAATGGCTCGTGAACTTTCTAAAAGCACTAGGGCAAATTAGGAAAACATATCTTGGTGTGATCGATCCAATGTGGACGGCTCTCTCTGTTTCTGTGTCACGATCGTCATGAAAAGAATAGAGGAAAGTTTATTGCACATTTGCATGTCACTTGCAAGTGTTGTCATCAAGCAGAAAGAAAAGGTAAATCCTAACGCTGTATATATTACAACCGGAACCCAACGCTTCAAAGTTGTAATCATCATGTATGTGCCAATTAAACAGTATTATACATGCTCCAATTAAACAGTTTAATTAAAGGCACTGATTAGAACCTTAAGATTTTTTTTGACAGATCTATGCAGGTCTTGAATTATTCTCTACAGGAAATTCATGTGTTCCAAACAAACTCTGACAATTAAGGTAGTATTCGATAAATGCGAGTGCTCATATATTTATAAATCAAGTATGGTAAAATTGTTTAGTGCTCATGTCAATTTAATTCTGTCATACTTAACTAGACATATTAGTGAGCCTAATTAAGAAATTATATTGCTTGGTGATATAAAATGTGCCACCCTTTTTTTTTCGTACTTTTAGCACAACTCATCTGTCAATATCTTCCTCTTTTCTCATGGGCGGCAAGCACAATAAATCCATCCAAGACACGCATCATGCGTTCCCAATATACCTGAAAACCAATGGTTGAGAAAACTGACCTGTGATATACTCCCTCCTTCCCCAAATATTTGACGCTGTTGACTTTTCTAAACATGTTTGACCGTTCGTCTTATTCAAAAACTTTTATGAAATGTGTAAAACTATATGTATACATAATAGCATATTTAATAATAAATCAAATGATATGAAAAGAATTAATAATTACTTAATTGTTTTGAATAAGACGAACGGTCAAACATTTTTAAAAAAGTCAACGGCGTCAAACATTTTAGGATGGTGGGAGTAGTACATACATGGGTCACTGTTAAACCACATTTAAATGCTTCCTTTCACTGGTGACCATCAGCCATATGGTACGTGAGGTTGATCTGAAAATGCGACATGTGTTTGCCTATATGTAGACAACCAACGACCATAGCTCGACAGAAATCATGGCCAGAGTAATTGATTTAATAAGCACAATCACCAACCCTAATCAGGTACCAAAAGAGACATCTGTGCTAGGATCTGAAGGACTTAAAAATTACTTGTAATGTTAATCAGGAGAAAACAAGTACTATTGTATTACAGCAACTGTTGATTGTGATACATCCATATTATGGGCTATGGCAGTGTAGATCGTATTAACAGTAAGTACAAGAATTGCATAGCATAGGGCAAATCTTTTGAAATAAGATATGTAGCTATAACTGTGTAAGAAATTAAAATTCTATAGAATCAGGTTTTACAAATTCCATATTATACATGAGAACATGATCAATATGTGGTAGTCAGCCAAGGCTGAAAATTAATACAGTATAACATCAATTGAGTTATAAACATTTCCATTTTGTTGGTTTGTTATGCAGTACACGTGCATTCAGGATTCAGCAGCAAAAGAGTGAACCAACATGCGCCTTGTACCACGCTCCAGCAAAGCTAAGACAGGAACAGAATAAAGATCGATGGTATACAACATCACAGAAAAGTTTTAACAAGTTTCGTATAAACATACATTGCATTTCCACAGGTATTGATTCTTCGTGACCATCTGCCTTTGTTATGTTAGGTCTCATGAACTCGACAATGTAAGGGCCGGAGACCACCAACTGTCCATCACCTACAATATTCCCCTGTTTTTGTGGGGTTCACCTAGCATACAAACTCTAGGATAGCGTTCTTTGAGACCTGAAATTTGAAATTGCTATATACTTTTGTACTTAATTTGCTCCCATGGTGAAATATTTTTTTTCAAGATAAAGAAAGTTTTTATTGATCTTAGACGATTACATAAAGGTGATAGAATCATATTGAGAACACTTCACCTCTGTATAACTAAGATGCGCAAACCAACATGGTCAATAATTGGTTGCAAATATAACGTATTCTGACATAATTAAGCAAGCTGGAGAATTTCTATAAGTATATATGCACACATGATGCGTTTATTGAGAACACTTCACCTCTGTATAACTAAGATGCGCAAACCAACATGGTCAATAATTGGTTGTAAATATAACGTATTCTGACATAATTAAGCAAGCTGGAGAATTTCTATAAATATATATGCACACATGATGCGTTTAAATGGAACAGAAACATTACAAGTTACTGACCGGCATGTTAAATCTATAAATGATATGCTTCATCAAATTGGCAACTTATCAAATGTGCAAAGCAAATGATTCCAGAAAGAAACAAATATATTTTACCATCACTTTAATGATCAATGCCACTACTTCTCCCCTTGCTACGATGCTAAGACGATGCGATCAGGCCATAAAGAGGAGACAAATCAATGTCACTCGTTGAGCCAATAAGCACATTCAAATTATTCTTATCACCTTATACTAGTGGTAATAAAGAAGTAGCAAGCAGGAATAAAAAATATATTTCATCATAATATACTAGTGGTAATAAAGCGATAGCAAGCAGGAATAAAAAGATATTTCATTATAAGCTAGCCTAGCTACTCATAAACTAATTGAGGCAGAAATTTATTTAAAACTTATTTTCACCTCTCACCTTTCACTAGTGTGCTCTCTACATGGGAAGAGTTGTAATTTGACTACGTATAAATCTTTTTTCCATTAAATACTTTTTACGTCCGAAATTCTAGCATTATGCAGTCCTTGTCTGCAGGTGATGCACCCTAATTAAACCTAATACATGAGTGATCCCGATTTGTCTGTGAATGATATGTCCGTCCACAATTAAGCCTGCACATGATATGATAACCCTGAAAGCTCAATATATCATAATCTTAAGCGTACGCGTCTCTCCTGATGCAATTATACTTAACTAACTCCCTAATAGCTGGCTAGGCTTGATCACAATTCTCTCTTTAGTGAGCTATATAGCTGGCAAGCCTGGCATCACAGCCCAATCTGCAGGTGTGCCTACCCTTTCAAAATGAAACGACAGATGCTATTAAATTCAGGCGAATAATCTGTCTCTTATATGCATGGATTGTGCAGCACAGTAGTGCATTATCATAAAAGTGACAGCTCCTGACGATTTTGCATTTGTTCGCCACAATCTTTCTGATGCGACATAAAAATGTACTAATTTGCTCTCCCAAACAAACAGATAAAACTTTCTTGAGACAACTTATTCCATCTGAATACCACTCCTCCATCCATGAATCATAGTGCTAGGGTATATCCAATTCTATACTATATTGCTATATTTTAGAAAGTGCTAGGTATATCCAATTCTATACTATATTGCTATATTTTAGAACGAAGGGAGTACTTCTTTTGTTGGCTAAACCTGGTTGCAGCTGCACTGTAACTGCAGAGACACTACTGTGTGGTGTACACTGTACAGTGCACCAGTGGTTCAGTCACTGAAGTTCAGTGGAGCACCAACCAACTAACAGTGGCTAAATCTGTGGATGATACAGGTATAGTGCAATAGTACCATGTTAAATCTGCTTAGAAAGTTCAAAAGGATTTTTTTGGGACCTTTTCCACTGAAATGTTATCTTACTACGCGGACTAGGCTATTAGCCTATTAGCACTATCTATTTTGAATTCTTGTGCCAACAAAAGTTCGTTAGGAATTTATTCTTCTGAGAGTCCAAAATCATATACTCCTTCCGTTTCTAAATATTTGACACCGTTGACTTTTTAGCACATGTTTGACCGTTCGTCTTATTCAAAACTTTTGTGAAATACGTAAAACTATATGTATACATATAAGTATATTTAACAATGAATCAAATGATAGAAAATAATAATTACTTAAATTTTTTGAATAAGACGAACGGCCAAACATATTTAAAAAAATCAACGGCGTCAAATATTTAGAAACGGAGGGAGTATATATATATATATATATTGACAATAATATTTACGGAACTCAAAACTATATGTTCTGTCTGGTTCCTGATTTCACATTTGGCTTTCTCCCAAAAGCCGGGTCAATAGTAATGTTGATCTGCCTCTAAAAAAAAATGTTTTGTCTAGCTACTGCCAAAATTTTGACTGTCTTTTTTATATCAGGTTGAAAGTGAGGTTCCGCTCAAACTGAGTACTCACTACCTGAGTCTTTTATATCAGCAGCTGCCTGATATTCTCCATCAGATATCGGAGAAACCCAAGAAGCGAGGAAAACACAAAACGCAAAATCCTGCACCCAAGTCCGGTGGATAATTTGAAATCCATACCTGATGCTCAGATTGGATGAAGAGGCGATCATGCATACATTCATCCGCGCCACCTTGTGCAGCCTACAGCAAGCAGATCTTTCTATGGCTTCAAGGTCCGGACAGCCAATGAGCAGCCATGGCGAGCGTATGCTGCCTCTGAACCCAGCACAGTATCTGCAGCGCCTGGGCCATTCGATCGAGCTTTCCGCTGCTATGCCGCGGCTTACCGGCGAGGCCCCCCGGAGAAGGACGGAGATTTCCCGGAGACTTGGGCCGGCCACCGGCGTGGCAATCCCTCGAACACCTTGGGTGCGTGCAGCCGTTGCTGTTGGGAATTGGGACTCAGACGACGACACGCCAGTAGGGAATACAGCGGCGGCGGGCTACTGACTACTAGTAGTGTCTCCGGCTAGCGCGGCGGCCGGCGGGCCCGGCGCCGACGACACCTCGCCGGCGGCCGGCCGGCCAACGCCCAGGGCGCATGCGCGAGAGAGAAGCAATTTCTTTAATATTTTCCTTTTTTTTATTTTTTTTTTTGCACGCAGCTTGCATTCCCGTTTATGGGCTTCCTCGGCCCACATAATGTGAGGCCCATGTTCAATGAGGTCGTCATGTTGTGGACCTCATCTCGGCCCATCTCAACCACTTACTACCCAAGCTACTCGTTAGAGACGAACTGGATTGGAAAAGGTGTCTTCGAAGAATATTGGAAGGAACCATGCCAGATTTGAAGCTTCAAATTTTATATATTTTTTAATCAATGGATATAGTCCCTTTTGAGTAAAATAAAAAAGGACAAAATCTAGAGACAAACTGTTGCAAAATTTAATTTTGGTGATTGTAACATAATGTAAATGTTCTGTAACTGAGTGTAAGTATTCTATAACCAAGTATAAATGCTCTCTATTTGAATGTAACTACAAATTGAATCTACAATAATCTTGATGCAAGATCTTACAATGAAAAATCGAAAGACATGAATCTAAAATTCTATCATATAAGTGAAATAGCAAAATCAATATCGGAAAAGGTGAAGTACAAGAGGCAAATCTTCACACGAATCTATGGCAAAAATCTGAGAATTTTATACTTCGAAAGTTTATACAAGGAGCTTAAACTACAAGCTAGCAAGGAGCTTAAACTACGAGCTAGCAACAAATTCCAGTGTAACAACAAATTTGTATGTATATATGAAAAGAAGAAAAAAAGGAAAAGAAAAAATATCCCAACATCTTAATTTCCTAACTCTTACACTCTAATCAGTACAGCAAAATAAAAAATTACTAACTTAGCTAGCCATATATATCCCTTCATTAAATTAAGCTAAACCAATTTCTGCCAAAATCAATTCTACACACGCTCGAATTTTCCATGCATGCATCAGCTGGGTTAAATTATAATCTTCATGCTTAGCTCATTAACCACCAATCAGTTTCGCCCATGCAATAGCTCACCGTACCATGCCACGTGGCACGCATGCAAGGCGCTGACCGTTGACCAAGAGGCGATCATTGGAGCTGCTTGATTTCGTATACGCGTGTGTATCGGGTTACGTTACGACCGGGTCTCGCCGGAGTTCGTCGTCGTCGTCGTCGACGGCGAGGGCTCGGCGGCGTCAGCGGCGGCGGCGGGGGTGGGGGTGGGGTCCGGAACCCTGATCTCCTCGATGCGCGCGATCGCCGTCTTGAGCTCCCACCTCTGGTCGACGTCGGCGTCGCAGCAGCCGAGGCCGACGTGGAGCAGCTTGAGCATGTCGTCCTCGGCGCCGGCGCCGGCGGCGGCCATGTCCTTGTCGAACACCTCGCCGGTGCGCTCCTCGCTGACGACGGAGCTGACCCAGCCGGCGAGGTCGGCGTTGTCCTGCCGCCCCTGGCGGAGGTAGTTCGCCGGGAACTTGCCGGTGAGCACCTCGAGGATGAGGATCCCGAGGCTCCACACGTCGCTCTTCTTCGACGGCTTGCCGGCCGCCGCCGCCGCGACGCACTCCGGCGCCTTGTACGCCACCATCACCTGCGCCGCCGCGCTCGCCGTGACCACCGGCACCAGCGCGTAGTCCGACAGCACCGCCTCCATGTCGCCGTCGAGCAGCACGTTCGACGACTTGAGGTGGCCGTGCGGCACCGTCAGCATCGGCAGCTCGTCGTACAGGTGCCCCAACCCCCTCGCCGTCCCCCTGATTATCCTCAGCCTCTTCCCCCAATCCAACTCCGATCCCCGATTCCCTGTTACAAAAATCTCACCTCAATTCATTATGCCAAAAAAGAGAAAAAAATCCAAGACAAGCGTTCAATTATAAGAAATGCTATCGATCGTACAAGCTATTTTGTTCCAGAAATACTATTATCACTAGTTATGATAAACGGTGCATTCAACGGTGCGGGATGAACAAAACCCTTACAACGATGATTTTTCTGGAACAAAGTCGCATGTACGATACTCTCCATTTCAGGTTACAAGATGTGCTTTAAGTTTGATTAAGTTTATAGAAAAAAGTAGTAGCATTTTTAACCCAAAACAAATTTATTATGAAAATATATTCAATTATTGATTTGATGACACTAATTTAATATTATAAATATTATACTATATTTGTCTATAAACTTAGTCAAACTTAAAATAGTTTGATTTTGACCAAAGTCAAAACGTCTTGTAACCTGAAACGGAGAGAGTAGTATTTTATGTAACTTGCACTTATCGATGATATTTCTTGGAATTGAACGTTGTCGGTAAGACGAAATGGTGTTGCGAGATTGAGGAATGAATGGTTGGTTACCGTGGAGGAAATGGGCGAGGCTGCCATTGGTGATGTAGTCGGTGATGAGGAGCTTCTCGTCTTTCTTGTAGAGGTAGGCGACGACGGGGAGGAGGTTGGGGTGGGAGAGGCGGCCTAGGCGGCGCATGTGTTCGGAGAAGTCCTCGCGCCCGACGCCGTTCATGTCCTTGAACCGCTTCACCACCACGGCGGGGCGCTCCTGGAGCGTCGCCTTGTACGACGACCCGAAGTTGCCGCTGCCGAGCACCTCCGCCGACGCACGCAGCAGGTCCTCGATCTCGAACCGCTTCCGGCTCTCCTGGACGAACACCAGCCGCCCGTGCTCGTCCCGTCTCCCCCCTCGCTTCGCCGCCGCGCCGCCGCCGCCGCCAGAGGCCGACGTTCCAGCTGCGGCGGCTGTGGAGGCGGCGGCGGTGGCGGATCCACGGTTGATGTTCACGGCCGGCGCGGTGTGGAGCTTCGGGTTGGAGGGCGTCTGGTCGCCGCCGGGCTCGCCGGGCCCGGGGCGTCGCCGCCGCCGCTTCCGCCTCCTGCGGCCGATGACCCCCGTCGCGATCCCCGCCGCGGCGAGGATCACGCCGACGACGATGAGCACAACGGCGATGGTCATGAACGTCGACATGTTCGACGGCGAGGCGAGCTTGTCGCAGGGCGTGTCGAGCGGCTTGCCGCAGAGATACTCGTTACCTGATCAAACCCAAATCCAAATCCAAGATCAAGAATCGATCAATGGCGTGAATCGGAGGAGGAAGAAGAAGACGTCGTGATCGATCGAGATCTGCGTACCTGAGAACATGCTGGCGTTGAAGCGGCTGAGGCCTTCGGGGATAGGGCCGGAGAGGTTGTTGCTGGAGACGTCGACGTAGCGGAGCTCCGGCTGGGAGAAGTCCGGCAATGGCCCGTTGAACTGGTTGTGCGCGAGCGACAGCTCGAGCAGCCGCGGCGAGGTGATGGAGCTGGGGATCGGGCCGGAGAGCTCGTTGGAGGAGAGGTGGAGCTTGCGGAGGCCGCGCATGGTGTGGAAGGTGCCGTCGGGGACGACGCCGGAGAAGCGGTTGCGGGAGAGGTAGAGCATCTTGAGCATGGCGAGCGCCGACACGTTGGGGAACGCGCCGGCGATGGCGTTGTTGGCGAGGCTGAGCACGCGGAGCCCCGGGAGCGCGGCGAGCAGGCCCAGGTCGGGCGCCGCGCCCGACAAGCCCAGCCGCTCCAGCTGCAGCCCCTGCACGCTGCCGTTCCCGTGGCACGACACGCCGAACCACTGCGACGCCTTGCCGCGGCACGGCACCGCCGGCGTGCCCCACGCTCGCAGCGGCCCCGGCGGCGCGCCGTCCGGCCCCCGCAGCGTCTCCCGGAACGCGATCAGCACGTCGCCCTCGGGCCCCGCGCCGCCGCCGCCCGCCTCGCCACCGGCGGCGGCGGCGGCGGAGGCAGGCCCGCAAAGACACCAGGCGACGAGGGCGGCGGCGGCAGCGACGGCGATGAGGCCGGGCGGCCGAGGCCGCGCCATGGCGCTTCGGCTCGGCTCGGCGGGGCGGGGCGGTGGCCGGCGACGGTGACCGTGGCGCGACGCGGGGTGGGGGGAGAAGGCAGTGGGTGGCTATGCTTTTGCATGTGCATGGCTAGAGAAAGGGAGAGGGAGGGGGGAGAAAACGCGCGATCGCCGAGGGCTAAGAATAGTTTGTGTCACAGCCACTCTGCTCAGCACAGCATGGTGTGGCTAGATTAATTTTGGAGCTACATACTAACCATTCAAATCTATGAATGGATAGTCTTATATTTTCTTCTTTGGATTACATGTAACACACACCACTGCACTCTCACATATCATACGCTCACGAATACATCCCTTAACACTTGTTTAAATAGAATAAGACCAATGGTAAATCTCTAGACTCACTAAAATCCTACAAAATATTAAAAGCGTAATCATGTCTGTGTGATATCCATAGGCATTAGGATATTAACCCTGGTAGATGAACTCATGTATCCATGGCTCATCACCACGCCATCGGTGTTTCCTCGGAGAGACATAATTTAGCCTTACTAAACTACTTCCTCCGCTTCACAATGTAAGTCATTCTAGCGTTTCTCACATTCATAAAGAATGACTTACATTGTGAAGCAAAGGGAGTACTTATTCAAATGCAGCTCGCAATATGCACATAAGTGTATATGCTAATATTGCAGAGCCCAGATGTAGAGGTACATGCAAAAATGTACCTGGGATTCTGCTGTACAGTGCAGAGAAACGCCCCAGAACAGCAGATTGCCAGACACTGAAGTACACAATGGCGCTGAGAAATGGTGATGCCAATGCAGGTAGCAATGTCTGCCACAAACCTACAGCATTTGATTAGAAAGCATCTTACAGTGCACACATATTTACAAGTACGGGGAAGGAAGAACGCCAAAGATTTTTGGCAGTCTGATTTAACCCTCCCTCACAAAGGGAATCTGCATCCTAGAGAGTTTGTTCATCACAGATCAGCTCATACCGACGACATTCTCGAATCCATTCTCCTTGATCAGATCAGTGAATTGGTTCAGGTAGCTCACAAGCCCACCTAGCGATTTGATCAGCTCATCACCTTTTTGGCGAGTGGTTTCCATAGAATCCGATGAGATAGCAAGGTTATGGTTCTCATTTTCGCCTGCCTCCTCTTTGAGTAGCATATGGATGTGCTGCGCGTTCTCTTGTAACTTGTTGGCCAGTTCACATGCATCGGTTTGGCTTTTCTTGCCCTCGTTGTTTGCTCCCGTTTCGCAGACTTCTAGACAAACATAACACAAAAACGGTGTCATCAAAAGATGTCAGGTGACTTGGAGGAAACATAAATAAACTGAACTAGCTAGCTGATAGTATGAAACAGAATTACACATGTAGCTAAGCATAGTATGGTGCTTTGTACACTCAATGAAGATAAAAGGGTCTTAGAGCAAACTAATACCCACTATTATATCGTAAACAAGGAAGACATTGTACCAAAGCCAAATTTATTGGTGAAGACGTTATTATGTAGTCTTTTTACCATCCTTGGAAAGGTACCAATATGTACTAATACTATTTAAACTGGAACTCATATGTTGACCCTGCATACCTGCATCATTCAGTGATTTGAATATGAAATAGCAGTTCCTGTTCACATACTATATCAAATTGGCTTCACATAGATCCTTTTGCCACAACCGTTTTGAAAATAACTACAAAATTCCAGATTTCAGAAGCTGAAACTAATATAACCAAGTATAGGCTTACTGCATTTTAACAAATCCTGCACCATTTATTTTAGAAAAGTAAACCATGCTCAGTTAAAACTTAAGAATGGGCCCATCGTGGCATTGAATTGAAATAACATCCCAGCACATGAAAATTAAGACTTGACTACCCAAAAAGTGTTTGCTAGCTCTATAAATCATAACGTGGTAAAAAACAATTTCCTGCACACTAGAACTATATTATATCTTAATATGAAACATATAATGTACCAAAGGTGCACTGAATCTGGATTGTGGGTCATCACCATCGAGGATGCATATAATCTCAACTGTCAACCAAGCCCAAGGAACAATAATCGTGCTGGACACGAGGAAATAAGAATGTCATTCTAGTCAGACTAGTGCCTGTAAAAGACTTTGTCATCTGCATTTCGTTAATGAAATGGGAGAGGAACCTCTCTTCCTCCAAAAAAATAAAACTGTATCATGAGATATTTTTGTCTCAATAACCCATAAACCACCTTAATTCCTGATCCTACATTTAGAGAAGTAAACCATATTCACTGGCAAAATTTCCACTGGCCAAATCATCTGATAGAGTATGAAGATGAACTAATCCTCAGTTAGGTATCACCAATTCACCATATCCCCTTATCTCCGAATTGCTTTCACATCGTATCCTTGCAATGCCACATGATTGCACTGCACTCAAACAAAATAACCATCTAATATGTGACATAAACCGCAGAGCTTTACTTCTTCACCATCAAGTATCAACAATGTATCGTCATCCGATTCGGCGCACATGGCTAGCATACCGGAATGTCCAGGCAGATGAACATGAAAAGCTAAAGGAGACAAGAAACATACCCAAATCATCAGAAGCAGCAGCATTTCCACCATCTGGTTGCGCGTCTTTGTCGTCGGCGTTGCCATCGTCTTCCACCTCCACCATTTCATTGCCATCCTCCTCCTCACCATCTTCTCCAACCTCACCTTCATCCTCTTCTCCAACCTCGCCGCGATCTCCATTTCCATCCTCTTCCCCAGCCTCAACTTCGTCGCCTTCTCCGACCTCAGCGGCGGCGGCGCTCTTTTCACCAATCTCAGCACCACCAGCACCGGCGGTGGCATCGGCGAGAAGCGCCTCCTCGACGAGGGTGAGAGCCTCCATGGCGCCGTAGACCTCGGCGTCGAAGTCGGCGGGGAGGCCGGCCTTCCTCCTGGCGGCGGCGCTCATCCGCCAGTACCCGCCCGCACCCCGCACCTCCCATCGGCGAACCACCCCGTACTCCGCGGCGAGCGCCTCCCACCGCCGCCTGCACTCGCTCGCCGCCCTCCCCCTCCCCCTCCCCCGCGCCGCCCTCCCCCGCGACGCGGCGAGGTTCTCGGCGACGATGGCCCACTTCTGGAAGGCGGAGACGGAGCGGGACCACCCGTCGTCGACGGCCGCGACCTCGGCCACGAGCGCGAGCGTCTCCGCGGGGGTCCACTCCGGCGCGCCGCCGGAGCGCGTGCGGCGCGGGCTGGGCGGCTCGGCGCCGCGCCTGAGCCTGGCGGCGGCGGGCGGCGGGTCCGTGGCGGCCGGGAGCGCCTGCACCATGGTCGGCAGCCTCGGGACCCCGGTGGACGACGGCGACGGCGGCAACGCCGGGAGCGCCTGGATGATGCACGGCCACTCCGCGGCGTCCGGATCCATGGCCATGGCCGCCAGCTCGGTCGCCGCCGGCGCGCGCACTGACACTCTCCTCACTGGAAAGTAGGAGAAGGGGAGAAAAAAAGAAGATTTTTCCTTTTGCTGTATAAGGGTATTTTTCTGAGAGGAGGCGTGAGATGTGTCATTAGCGTATAATTAGTTAAGTGTTAAATATTTTAATTTAAAAATAATTTAATATGATTTTTTAAATAAACTTTTATATTTTTTTAAAATTACGGTTTAGAAGTTTGGGAACGTGTGTGTGAACAATGAGATAGTTTTTCTTCAAATCAGTTGCTACTGAACGCAGTCTGGATGTGTTCGTTGTCCCTGGTTTCCAACTCCTCAGTATAGTTTTCAGCGCGCACGCTTTTTAAACTACTAGACAGTCTATTTTTTCAAAAAAATTATATACAAAAGTTGTTTAAAAATTTATATTGTTTTTAAAAAAATAGCTAATACTTAATTAATCACGCGCTAATGGACCGCTCTATTTTCCATACGCGAGATATGGGTTCTCAACCCAGGCTGCCGAACACAGCCTTAAGCATGGTTAGCACAAACTGTCACATTATACTCGAGTATTTACATTTAGGGCATGTTTGGATCCCTAGCAAGTTTTTTCATAATGTCGCATCGAATGTTTGATACATGCATGAAGTATTAAATATAGAAAAAAACTAATTACACATATTACGTGTAAATTGTGAGATGGATTTTTAAGTCTAATTACTTCATGATTTGATAATTTGGTGTTACAGTAAACATTTGCTAATAATGGATTAATTAGACTTAATAAATTTGTCTCGTAGTTTACAGGTGGAATCTATAATTTGTTTTGTTATTAGACTACGTTTAATACTTTAAATGTGTGCCATATATCCGATGTGACACGGCAAAAATTTTCACCCCTGATCTAAACACAGCCTTACATAATTTGATGCTTAACAATGATATCTTATTTAATTAGTTACATAATTTGATGCTACAAGAAGTTTTAAACGTGATTAAAAGTAGGACAACTTAATGCTTTAATTGACTAGAGTTCAGTCATGAGCAGTACTAAATAAATACATTTTTGTGGAGGAAAAAACAAAATTGTCATAAGTTTGCACCATACTTCATTAACTTCACCCCCACCATTAAACTCAATAATAACTCCCTAGTGCAAAAATTTATTGTTCCACAAATCATAACTGCGGAAGCAACCATAATTTATTGCCCTGCACAGTTGCATTAACTTCTTCTCCACACCATAATTTATATTTTAAACAAACCGCATTAAAATCGCATCACGATATGACTAAAAAGTCCAAAATTATTTTCTCTCTTATAGCTGCCGTGAAAATGACAGGAGAGGGAGGGCCCAAGGCCAAGCCAAAGCGGTGAAGGGGGGGCAATTTCCTCAATTTCTCGCAAGTACGGGGGGCAAAACGGGAAATTTGCCCCAAAAGAGGAAAATGACACTAACGACTTGTTCCTCTCTCTCTTTCTTTTCCCACTTGGGGAGTCGTCGTCTCTGCTCTCCGGTCTCCAGAAAAGCAAAAGGGGAGGCGAAGCCAAGCCAACCCAACCACACGCCAATCCACTCGGAATCCGCCTAGGGTTTCCTCCTCTTCCTCTTCCCCTCGCGGCTGCTGCTCGGCGGATTCTGCTGCTGCGGAGGAGGGCGGCGGGGGTTGGGGCTGCAAGCTGGTCCGATCAGCTTTTCCTGCTGCTGAGGTGAGCTTGACTGCATGAGGCTTTGGTGCGAATCGGGCGCGGGGGGGGGGGGGGGGGGGTTGGTTTGGTTGGAGGGGGGTTTCGGGCGATTAGGAGGTGGGGGGATGGTTTTAGGGTCGTGAATTTGATGGGGGGTTTTGATGTCTTGGTTGCGGAATTTCATTTGGGAGGGGATTTGGGGGGGGGGGGGGGGGGGGGCGATCGGGTTGGGGAGGGTTTGGATATGAGGTTTCGTGTTGTTGTAGGAAGGAGGGTTAGGTCGTCGGTGTAGATTTTGCGTGGAATTGAGAAAGGTCTAGTAGTTTTTTAGTAGGGATTTTTATCTGTTAATGTCGAACATTTTGGGTTATTTCTCGCGGTCTATGTTACTGTGATTCTAAGCTAGAAGTGCATTTTGTGTTGTTTCTGCCTCAATTCACTAAGTTCAGCTTGTTTTGCAGGTAGCGGGAGCGACAACCAGGGCATTTCTTGTACAAGGATGAACAGCCTGCCCCGGCTCAAATAATATTTGCGGTTGGATTTATTTTTTTTCGACATGAACGGGCAGCCAAGGTTTCACGATATGATAGGCGGTGGTGGCAAGGGAATGCAAGATAATGAGATCAATGGCCTCTTCAACATGCCGTCTTACCATAAGTTTGTGGAGGGCTCCCAGATGTCTGTTGACAGCGCCGACGGCTTCAACATGGCCAACTACGTTGGGGGTTCCGTTGCCATGTCGGTGGACAACAGCAGCGTTGGCTCGAACGAGTCCCGCACGGTTATACTTAAGCACCCAGGCCTCCGTGATGCCCCGACGGCAAGCTATTCGGTTGGCAACAGTGTCTTCCGCCCCAACCGTGTGGCTGCGCACACGCTAAATGAGGATGCGTTAGCTCGTGTTTTGATGGATCCGAGCCATCCGACTGAGATCCTAAGTAATTATGAGGAATGGGCCATTGATTTGGGGAGGTTGGACATGGGGGTTCCTTTTGCCCAAGGGGCCTTTGGGAAGCTATACCGGGGAACATACAATGGAGAAGATGTTGCCATTAAACTACTGGAGAAGCCTGAGAATGATCCAGAGAGAGCACAAGCATTGGAGCAACAATTTGTGCAAGAAGTTATGATGTTGTCTAGACTGAGGCACCCAAACATTGTGAGGTTTATAGGTGCATGTAGGAAGTCAATTGTGTGGTGCATCATTACTGAGTATGCTAAAGGTGGTTCAGTCCGGCAGTTCCTGGCAAGAAGGCAAAACAAGTCAGTGCCTTTGAGATTGGCTGTAAAACAGGCATTGGATATAGCCAGGGGGATGGCCTATGTACATGCTTTGGGATTTATCCACAGGGATCTGAAGTCAGATAACCTATTAATTGCCGCAGATAAATCCATTAAGATTGCTGACTTTGGAGTGGCTCGCATCGAAGTAAAAACTGAGGGTATGACACCAGAGACAGGAACCTACCGCTGGATGGCACCGTAAGTTATATATTCCCCTGTTTATTTTTTTCTCCCTGTGTTATTTGTATATGCCAACTCATGTATAGCTTATCACTTGCAAGGACTTCACTTTAGAATGGTATCTGACTGTCTGTTTGTCAATAATCTGTTGCTGATTTTTTTTCCTGAATACATCTGTTGCTGACTTATTGCGGATGGTTTCACTTATAACTTCAGATATGTAGGATTATTGTATTTTACCAATATACCTGGATACCCCATTGTACACATCAATTTCTGCAATTTTCTGGAGTAGTTGAATTTTATGTAGACCTATTTGTGCATCTCATTCCAGATTTTTAGTGTTTTGTGGCATCCCAAATCAACTGAATCACACCAGAGGATTACACATGGCATAGTGAATTGATTAACCTTGTTACAACATTGATGAAGTAGGTCCGTTGTTTTCAATCTTCTTTCTGTATTTAATATGGCCCCCATTTAGTTCATACTGATGCACTGTTGAATTGGTTATAGTTACTTACCATTAACAGAAAATAACATTAAGACTTTCCCTTTTTGCTTGAAATTTTCTTTTGTTATATGAAAAGAAAGGAGAGATAAGTGTTTGTCTTGCTGTTGACACACTAGTAGCAAGTTTCTTATGCAATCTTGAATTTCTAAACAAGAACCCAATATCAATATTACTCTACGCATTTAGTTGATGAGCTGGTTGGCTTATTTTGTTTTCAGGGAAATGATCCAGCACAGGCCTTATGATCATAAAGTTGATGTATATAGCTTTGGGATTGTCTTGTGGGAGCTTATAACTGGCATGCTCCCATTCACAAACATGACGGCTGTTCAGGCAGCTTTTGCTGTGGTGAACAAGGGTGCTCGGCCAGTGATCCCGCAGGACTGCCTGCCTGCTCTAAGCCACATCATGACTCTTTGTTGGGATGCGAACCCTGAAGTTCGCCCCGCATTTACTGATATCGTTTGTATGCTTGAGAGTGCAGAGATGGAGATTCTGAGCAATGTCCGTAAAGCACGCTTCCGCTGTTGCATCACTGAGCCCATGACAACCGACTGAAATTAAAGCAATGTAGATGATTACAACATGGATCGAGGGAGGAAGCAAGGGAGGATGAAGAAAGAGGCAATCTCAATGTATTCATTAGTACCAGCTCATAGGGTCTGTGTGCCCACAGAAGTTCCTAGGCTTTGAGCTTCTGTGTTATTCGATTCTATCTTGTGTGAGTTGCACAGCTCAAGTAATCTCTTCTGGAATATAGATGTTGCCTTGTATGTTAACAGGATCTAATGGAGCTTTCCTATGTTAATAACATCTGCTTGTTGGTGTAACCAAGCCTGCTCTGTTGATTTCTGAATGCCCCTGTTCTTGGTGTTGAATTACATATGGTCTTATATTTGTGGTGCAGTGTATGACAGCAACAGAGTTTTCGTCAACAGAGAGGTAATAAAGAAATTAGAAATTTTCATCTGAGCAATTATGTTGGTGGCTTCTGTTGGAAAATCATACAATTGTTGAGCTGTGTAGTGGCTTGTGTTGCTGTTTTTGACAGTAGGCACAAGATTTCAGCCACAAGATCACGAGTCAAGACAGATTTGTACCAACACAACTGTGATGGTGACATGCTGCTGCTTCCATCCCCCGACTCTTGAGCTGTTTGATTTGTTTTCTTTTAGGAGACAAGACTGTTTCATTTACTTTGCAACTATACAATTAAATAGTTCTTTGATTACGTCAATCAACGGGAGATGTTATGCGGATGCACGTTCTATAAAACAAGTGCAATTTAAATGGAGGATAAGTCAGATTTTTTTTTGGGGAAAGGATTGTTCTATTTTCCCCGCACAACGTGGCAAATTGCCAGATCGATTCTGTTTGCACACGTTTATGAAGTTACATTTCTTGGGGAAAAAACAGCACGTTATGGCGCCAAAGCATACCACCACCACTGAAACCACATGCCGCTGCCAAAACAACAATCATACAAGCGAAACCATGTCCCAAATCCATCAAAAACAGTTTCAAAGATACATGACATTTTGACATTAGGTTGTACAAGTATAAATGACAAGACCCACAGTTTGAAAATCGGTACATTGGCAGAAAACAATAGAAAAAAAATTAGAACTGCATAACGATTATCGAAAACACAAGCAAGCCATCACTCCGTTCGATTTTAGTTCAGGGGAGACCAATACCGATATTTATGATGACAACATTAACTGTGACATTGTTTGCACTCTGATAGTTGATAGAAGCAATTCTTGTATCTTCTCAAGGCCACCTTGGTGGATATTGGTCGAAATCGACGACGGGCTTTCAGTCCAGGCCTTTAGTTTATCTGGTTTAAACCGAAGAAATTGGACTGACAAGCATTGCTGCTAGCATTCATGGTAAAACGAACCAGCTGAGCCGGTTGTGCTATAGTTTGTACATTGGCACATGATGCTGAAGCAGAATTCCCTCCATTAAGTGGAGGAAGTTCCCGGTTGTTTTGGCTGGCGCCTGTGAATTGGATGACGCGAGATGCTTGCTGTACAGGATCAGGTAATCCACAAGAACTAGATGACAGAAGAGAGAGAGCACGCTGAAGATCCGGTGCTCCATCAAATTTTGAAGCAGTTAAAGATGCGTCCGGACCTGCAAAATGGAATAATGGTCATTCTTCCATCAAAATATGTACATTGTTTTCTCCTTAATGAAATGACATGCAGCTCTCCTGCGCAGTTCGGATAAAAAGGACACCGAAGAACATCCAAATAGTGGCTGCAGAGAAGTCTGCAATGGAAATGGATTGAATGGCTCATATTCATTTGAAATATATTTTGAGAATTTAGCATAAAATTAGCAAGGTTATCCAAGAAATTGCAGTATGCTTGGTAGTATGTAGAATTTTAGCATGGTAACTAGTTCTCCCGCATGCGGAGAGTTTAGGGAACAGGCATAATAAGGTAAATTTAGGGCATTCCTGAGCTGACTTTCGCATATTGTGCTAAGTATTGGAATTCCCTCGTTTTGTCAGAGATAAGAATCACAGCTATCTGGAATCACTTTGCATTTTTTTTTCTTGTTATCAAAATCCATAGCATTCCATTATCTAACAAAACATAGCATAAATATAATTACCCCCTCTAGTCAGCACTTCGAAGTCGTTGTAGACTAATAAGCACATAGCATTAAGTTATGGTTTTTGGTACAATACTGCCCCTGTTAAATCCCTGTTGGAATACTATTACATGAAAATAATTGCTGCCGTTATATACAATCTCACACCAAATGAAACAACTAGCTGCGCATTAATGATGCAATGTTGGCACCAAAACCTTGTACAGATACTTGTACCAAACACAAAAACTAACACATCATTGATGCGATATTAGCGCCAAAGCCTCATATGGAAACTTGTGGCATTTGCTATCCATTTTTTGGTGCATGCTCCACTTCCAAGCACATATTAACTGTAGTTAAAAGCATCTAACATAACTAATTTGGGCAAAAGAGAGCAAAGGACCAAAAGAATGCCCAACATCATTCTTTGTTGTATACCTGCAAGTTAAATCAAAACAACTTGTATTGCTAACTGGAGAAGTAATTCTCTGCCCAATGACCACAAGAGAACTACTTATATAGTTGAAACTGTAGGATGTTTACTATCACACAAAACACGGTATTTTTTTTCTTTTCCAATTAGAATCTTACTAAAAACTCTGTTGTCTTTTATGTTTGAAACACTTCGTCAACTATAGTGACATAAGCTTAGCAGCACACTGCACACCATCTTATTTTCTAAACCCAAATGTGCTCAAGGGTCTAATTTTTTTTCATGGGTGTGCACAACTCCAGGATACTTTTTTTAACAAACAACAACAATGACAAAACAGCATCTGAATTTGGCATTTGGTACAGTGTATAGGTTGAATTTTTTCAAAGATCTATGCAATGTGCTGAACCATGAAAGTAGTCTTAATTGATGACATTTTTCACGAAAACTTACATCTTTGGAAAATCATACCTTTCATTGGTAAGAGCTCATCTATGTCGGTGTTAAATGCTGGGAGAGATTTGGATATGTGAGATTTATCCAAATAAATATGTCCATCAGTTGTCCCAACTTCAGATGAGCTTTCCCATGGAGAAATTGCGAAAGGCCTTACATGGCTGAGTGGAGCTTTGTTCCAGACAAAACTTATTTGTCGGTTATCATCTGCAGTGGCATTTCAATTTTGGTGTGAAGGAAAATCTTAATTGAAAGGGAAAATAGGGTATAATTATAGAAAACTTGATAGAACATCTGATATTGTAGAGTTTCTTTGCGAGTAATCCTGATACTATCAAAATAAATTTAATCAGGGAGTCGAACTTACAACCAAGAATTTTCGAACTGAAAATAATTTTCACATGTAAGCTCAGTCCCATCGATCAAGTAAGAACATGCAAGTGCTTAAGGATAAGGTAGGTGGAGGTTGCCGAGGAGTAACCTTATAAAGATCTTATCACCAACAATTTACCATTTTTCACATACATCATATACATCAAGCTAAATAGTGAAAAGTAACTGCTGTTGCAAATCCATTTAAGGTACAGACAAATTACCAAATAATAATGACGACGGCGGCCTTGCCGATGCATAGGAGAACACGTCGGTCTGGGGCTTCCGCCGACGAGCGTTGTGGTCATACAGGCGTCTCCTGCAGCTCCTCTTCTTCTGATCAAACTCCGAGAGCGCATGGAACCTGATCCCAAACATTCACCAAAACCAAATTAGCACACTGTTGCATAAACTACTCGCAGGATACACAAAAAATCCCACATACAAAAAAAAAAGTACATATACACAGAAGATGATTCTACTCTACACACAGTAATCAGCTGGATATAATCAGGGCGTAGATAGGGGTTTGTCCCATAACCTCGAGTATTTTTATTTATCTTTTCTCGACTCCTTGGCCGTATGCTTGTTGGCAGAGAGACCGGAGGTGTAAATCATTTCCATTATCTTTAAAAAAAATACTATACACACAGTAATAATTTTAAAGATTGAAACACAGTAATCACAGGCTCACTGCACAGCAAGGCCCAATCCCAAAAATGAAGGCACAGGACAAGTACCATACTAAAACTGGAAAAAAAAAACCCATTGCAGAGTCACTCAGCCATGCAGCAGGATCCACCACTCGCACACACACACAGTACCAATAGTGGAAAGATAGCATCTCTGCCTCCCATATACGGAAATGGAAAATCCGTACGGACACCAGAAAAATTCACCACCCACGTAAAAAAGCACGAGCTTCGCGCAAATTAATCAGCAACCAATCGTGTGATTAAACTGTAAATTGTAATTGTAATTCGAAGAACCAAAGAAGAGAAGGGAATCTTTTTGCAGAAAGTAATCGAGGAGAAGGAAGGCACGCACGAGCTTGGAGCTGTGTGCTTCCATTGATTTTTTTTTTTTTGCAATATAGAGAGAGAGGAAGAGGAAGAGGAGGCGCGACTCCGGCGAGCTCACCGGCTGCACTGCTGGCAGAAGCGGCGCTCCTGGCCGGCGACGACGACGCGGGGGAACTTGGAGTGGGCCTCGCACACGCGGTGCTTCCGGTGGTAGTCCTTGACGCCGACGAGCTCCACCCCGCACCCTTCCACCTGGCACCTCACCTCCCCACCACCACCTCCTCCTTCCTCCGCCCTGCCTCGCTTCTCCTTCCGCCGCCTTCCCGGATGAGCCGCGGCGGCGGCGGCGGCGGCGGATACCTCGCCGGAGGAGGAGCCCGGCACGGCGGCGTCGGCCCAGTCCCAGAGGAGGGGAGGGGAGCGCGGCGAGGTGGGCTTCGGAGGAGGCATCCAATCCATGGATTGGCGCGGATTTGGGTGGTCAATTTTGGGATTTGGGAATCGAATTGGGAGGGAGGGGAGGAGGAGATGAACAGTGTGGACTGTGGAGAGGAGGAGGAAGAAGAAGTCATTGGGGAATAGAAAAAAGCCAAGTCTTTGCTAATTTATTTGGGAGCTTTCTTCTTGTTTTTGCTTAATTTTGGGCTAAACAAAAGTGTTTTTGTTTTTCTGCAAACAAGGTAGCCTTTTTTGTAAGAGGTTTTGAAATCTTTTCAAACAATATTTCACAACTTACATAAAAGAAATGAGCTTTTTTTTTTGCCTTTTTTCGCGTGGTATAGTTTAGGCTAAGGTTAAAATGCTATTACCTCCATTCGTATTATAAGTTGTTTTTATTTTTTTTCTAAATTATTAAACTACTTTGGATTTGATCAAGTTTATAAAAAAAATATAGCAATACTTTCAACACAAAATAAAAAAATCATTAAAATATGTTCAATGATAGATGTAATGAAACTAATTTGATGCTCTAAGTTTTATTATATTTTTTTTCTGTAAACTTGGTCAAACATTTAAAAAGTTTGATATAAAAAAATAAAAATAGCTTATAATATGATGTGGAGAGAGTAGATTTCCTAGGAATTTCACATTAAATAGTTCAGTTCGGCAGGAAAACAGACAATATTTCTAGGTTCAAACAGATGCTCGGTGGGTGCAACACCGTATGTCACAATCACACCACATATGCACACAGACATGCTTATGCATAAGCACTAACAGTGTAATATACTCCACATAAATACTCCCTCCATTTCAAAATATTTGAAACTGTTGACTTTTTAGTACGTGTTTGACCATTCATCTTATTTAAAAAATTTAAGTAATTATTTGTTCTTTTCATATCATTTGATTCATTATTAAATATACTTTCATGCACACATATAGTTTTATATATTTCACAAAATTTTTTGAATAAGACGAACGGTCAAATATGTGCTAAAAAGTCAACAGTGTCAAACATTTTGAAACGGAGGGATAATTGTTTAGAATCCAGCAAGATCACTTTACTAGTGTATTTCTACAAATAAAATAAAGCATATCGTGCTTGCCTAAGTGTGTTCGACTTAGGTGGGTAGAACAAACTCACTTGCTTCGACCAAGTCTCGTAGCTCGTTCTTTCTTGGTTATGCCGTACTTAATTAATTAGTAGCTAGTGTGCCAAGAACTGTCTTGCACAGATTAAATTTCATGAAATTGTCCTTGGTTACCACACTGGTAATCACGGAGAAACACTCGAGTGTCAAATGTTTTCCTTTCGTTGACAATTTAAATATAATTTGATTTTATAACTTCATTAGAGGCATCAAATAATAAAAAGAAATCCAAAACAGAGACACCTGTCCCTGTGATTTTCTTTTGTCAAACATATATATAGAGAAAAATAAATGAAGATAACAGAAAAAATAAATCATACTCCCTCCATCCTAAAATGTTTTATACCGTTGACTTTTTTAAAAATGTTTGATCATTCATCTTATTCAAAAAATTTAAGTAATTATTAATTCTTTTCCTATCATTTGATTTATTGTTAAATATACTTTTATGTATACATATATTTTTACACATTTTACAAAAGTTTTTGAATAAGACGAACGGTCAAACATGTTTAAAAAAGTCAACGATGTCAAACATTTAGGGAAGGAGGGAGTACGTTGATTGCTTATAGACTATCATAGTAACAAGCAAGTTGTTGATTATTGTTCCATCTCTAATCACTAAGTTATAAATCCTAGCTCTTATGATAGATTAAGCATAAGCAAAATCAGTTAGTTTTATTTATTTATTTTCCATGGATTTATCTCAAGCCTTCTCCTCTGTTAGAAAGCGTGTATAAGGGGGTGTGCACACTTTACAAAAAGTGTGTCCACATAGCATATGTGCGCTATTGTTTCTTTTAATTGAAAAAAAAAATAACATGGGGAGTGTGCATATCCCTCTCTTGAAATTAATTAAAGAATGCCCAATAGGCCAATTGATGTTGTTGATTAAGCTCTCTAGCTTAGCTATAGCTGTTAGTGGGGCACTCTCAAATTTGTTTATAGTTGAGAAGCTGAGCATAGTGAGTGCTGAATCTTTCCCAGCATAAAGAATAATGGAGGTCAGAGGTCGTTTTCCTGCTCCATTAATTCCTGTTTCGAATTATCTTTTTCTTCACTTTCGATTGATGGAAAGATAGAAAGGTATAGATGATAGTGTTGTGAATGATACGATGTGGAGGTGACCGTGATTCCGACTCGGCCTCCATTATATTCACAAGCTCTGATCATGCCTTATCTTGTTGTTTCTGTAATTATTTTTCATGTAAATTAAGTTTGCAAAATCAAATATTATTAGTATAGTCATGGAACCTTGCTGGGTTCTCGTTCGACGTCCTTTTTATGATATTGAAATTATAACTTCGAATCTTTGTACCAATTAGATATCGACGCATAGCCATCTTTTTTTTTTCATCAAGATCTCAGGACCTTGAATACAGAGTGAGATGCAACCACAATTCCAACACGCTTTTCCCAACATGAAATGAAATTCCTTAACTCATTTTAAGGGGCTTGATGTTTAGACAGTTTGACCTAGTTAAAGCTCAAGTTGTAGTAATTTCTTAATCTGATCACTTGGGGAAAAAATAATCTAATACACACCACACATGCATAATGTCTCCGGAAACAACGGCAACACCACCAAATATTCAGTTTTCTTTTTTTCCAAGTTCAGAGACAATCACATGACACTCTTGTAGTTAAGGTTCAGAATTTGTATATTGCTTAATTATTCGGGTAGCTAGAGAGAAGTAATTAAAGATGGCCTTATTGTTAGGCGTTAACCGGCAAAATGTGCATGTCGACGGAGCAATCACAGCCGTACGATCTCGATGGGGTCAATGATATGATCTCGAAAGATGCAAAAATGGACGCTCAGGATTGAGCCACTGTACCTGCAGTGGCGCCGTCGTTTGGTGCCGGGCCATTTCCCATTATCACATCATGAACAGAGCTCTATCTTAGTCAATTGCGACTGGACTTGTAAGAAGAAAAAAAAAGATATATCACAATAAAAATAGACATTTTGATTTCTCTCCGTTGGTCTCAGGCTGTGCCGCTAACGTCACTATTATATCAACTGCGCGCAACATTAAAAAATCTCTGTCGTAAAAAATATTTGTCGCTTAGGCTTGACGATGTTGTTGACTTTGCCATTGGGTGGCTCTTTTTTTTTTGTCATAAGTGATTTTTTTTAATCTGTTTGAGCGATAAAAAGAAAATAAAAATATAGTTGTAGTGCAAAATGCATAGTAAATAGAAATTTCATTCATAAATTATTTTTTATTTTCTAATAAGTGTTGTGGCTTATAATCCAAAATGATGGTAATGCGAACAAAAGTTGATTAATTCTAAACGATAGAAGGGACACATCATACAGTTTCTTTTTGAGAAATATATAAACGTACATACTCACAACATGCATACAGTCACCCCTATTAAATGCACACATACACATCCTACGTCTATAAGTATATTTGGAAAACTGATCTGATATATCTTAAGAATACCCCACTCTCACTTATTTTGGTTGCATTCACGCAGTAACTGACCATCGAGCTTTACTACTCTTATTTGAAACTAGCACGAATTAGCCTCTGTACTGAAACTTTATTATTTTCTTTTCATTATCAAAGTGTGCTGTTTACGTGCACATCGTTTATGCAATTGAAAGAAAAATAGTAGTATCACATTGCGAAGCATATACTTACTAGGCCGTAATTAGGCCATCTGAAATAACTTGGCCCAGCCCAATAGATCATGACTACATTTGTTATAGTGCAGCCCATGTAACTGCCTTCACGCCCATGTAAGTGTAACTTTGGATTACTATCAGGCTGGAGCCCAGTTCTCTGGACCTCTTAGTTATTATTAATTACTTCTTAGGAATTTTTTTTTCTTGACTAACTGATTGCCCATGTGTTTTTAGTAAGCACAACATATTATTAAGCACTGTACATTTATTTATCGAACTTAGCCAAACCACATTTCCTAATAAAGAGAAAAATGACACGAAAAAATTGCATATGTATATATGTAGTACTATCTAATTACAAGAAATGAATTTACATATACACTCTCTGTCCACAAATATAAATATTACAAACATCTGAAATTTGTTCATTCAGATTATTTCATAATTTAATCCTTTTCTGATCTTACCTTCATCCCACCATCCCATTACAAACTTATGAGTCATTTAACAAGGGACATCAAAATTCTTTTCTTCTCAATTTTAATCTTTACTGAACAACATAAAAACGCTATATTTGTTATTGGAGGTAGTATGTTTTTTTTTTCAAGGATGTGTGGGAGTCAAAGAACAATTATAAGTGCATCGTCACTTTCGCAGGGAAATATTTTCAACCATGGAGGCCATTGGTTTGGACTTGGGAGAGAGTTGTAAATTAAAGTGAAAATCAAGCCGACATGGATGGACACTTGAAAGCTCAGAGTCGCTTATTCAGTCGTCAGTCGTCACTCAGTCACAGGCCGGTTGATGATGAGCTTAATTAGCCAGGTAAAAAGTGCAGCAAGAAGGGAGAAAACGATTTGATTAATCCCTCTTGACCGGAGATCCGACAAGCTTGCTCTGAGTTCAAACCGGCCATTTACACCTTGAAATTAGTAACTGACTAATTTTAATCTCGGAGGTCCTGCTAATCTATTATATAATTAAAGGAATAGAAAAATGAGCCTCCACGTTCGCTCTCATGGCCTAGAAATTCTCACATTAATCGGAGAAAAAGAAAAGACAGAGTCCATATAGAATAGAAATACAATTTAAAATAGCTGAAATTCGGAATTAAAAAATAAGGAATATTAGAAGAGGAGACTAGAGTCTATATAGAAATACAATTTAGAAATAGTTGAAATCTATCTATTATATAATTAAAGGAATAGAAAAATGAGCCTCCACGTTCGCTCTCATGGCCTAGAAATTCTCACATTAATCGGAGAAAAAGAAAAGACAGAGTCCATATAGAATAGAAATACAATTTAAAATAGCTGAAATTCGGAATTAAAAAATAAGGAATATTAGAAGAGGAG